CTGATCTGGACATGTTCGCGAATTTGAGAACTCGGTTCGCTACTTTGTGGAATGTGGTAAGGGATTTTTAATATTTTATTTTGTTAGTTCTGGTTTTGCGTCCTTTTCTTCAGGGCCACACACTGCAGCCATGCTACTTTTAAAATTCATAAAACTCATTTTATTTTTGCAAGTCGGCTTTTAAAAAGCACTTTTACTTGTCCTAGTATACTGGGACATGTAGTCTACTATGATCTATATATAGGTCATAGCAAACTACTTGAAAAGGGATCTACATTCAACACCGTATGCCAACGGCTTTGGTGCGGATAAGTATGCGTTGCAGTATGGAGATTCATATAAAGAATACTGACCGCCTCGAGTTGATATGGATAAGATACCTTTCTGGGTTGATAAGTGTGCTGTGTCCTTTTTAACCCTACCTCTGCTTCAATAAATGGGCCAGTGCTGAGAAGAAGCAACGCAAGAAACTCTGTCACTATTGTCAGCCTCTTTTTCATCGGCGATTTTGCGACCACATCGGTGCAGCATCGTATGAATATGTTGTATGTCAAATTGTTTGTAAGAAAGCAGCACATGCTTAAAATAAACATTATTTTGTTATTATTTCAGGTATTTCAAGTGGTCTACGCCTCATCGGCTTTAGTAATAGACTATTACACCCTAAAAGGCAAAGAACGGAAAATTCCAGAAGCATTAAGAAGTTACAGATACACATTTTTCGCAGGGATAATCTACCCTGTAGCTATGGTATGCAAACAGTCGTATAAGCTATATACTTTTAAATCTAAAAAAAATGATGGAAAGTGGTTCAATTTAATATTTAATACTTGCACAATCTCATCGATTAGAAGCAAAATGCAAGCAGCAGATTTAATTGGAAGTGAATCTACTGGTCCCTCTTTGTTTAAAGGTGTGCCTCAGGGCTGTATATTGGGACCTGTTTTATATTTTATCTATACAGCTTACTTTATTAATGAACATAATAACATACTTTGATATATTTATTTTATTCATTCATAAACGTAAGCAGGTACACATACAGAAAGGGTGTTATTTGTTTGACATTAACGTTATTTATGGTTTACCTATGATGAAGAAAATCTTCATTTTCAGGGAATCTTAGTTTTCTGGCCAGTATACCTCTACGACAGAGAATTAGTCTACAAAACAACCTTGGAAGTAGCCATACCACAACATACAAACTACATTGTCCATGGGATGGTGTTTTTATATGCCAATTTTGAGCTGGTCTTTTTACCACGGGAGCTACCTAAGAGAAACCACGTTAGTTGGAATCATTTGGTTGTCTTTAATGCTATCTATATGTCCGTGTAAGTATACAAATCTATACTTGCTAATCAATGATATTATATAAAAACAAAAGCAGATAATTATGTTATAAGCGCTCGCGCTGTGAATACTCAAATACGTCCCAATTGGGACGTCTTGTGTTTAGTCTTCGAGTGGCCTGCGTCGTGCGCAATCGCGTGCGTACCACACGTAAGTTCCTGTTCTTACCAAAATAAATAAAAAATGCCATCGTGTGTGTTTCGAAAGTGTACCAATTATGACTCTAAAGTAAACAAAATACAAGGGATCTCTTACCACATGTGATTATGCAAAATTATTTAGTATTTATATTTTCAATTATTTATGCAAACAATCAAGACGCCATGCGCCATGTTCAAGTTAAGAAAGAGAAAGCGATCTTGTTTTGACGTTAGAGCGATAAGGATGCGTGCGCTGCGGACATAGATTAGTTAGTGCAGAATCGTTAAAACTATAGCTATCTCTTTCATTTGCGTGCTATTTCGTATTTTTTGTTTCACTTATCAGTTACATTTGTCAATGTGTGCGATTTGGAATAGCTCGGCACGGATTCAAATCGTAATTTCTATGAACGTAACATATCTATAGTTCTTTAATATCATTGTTGCTAATATTGTCATCATCAGGTCATTTAGTATCCATTGTAGGAGCACGAACCTTTCCGATTTACATTCCTCACGCTGCTAACAAGACGGATTGGGCCTGATTTTTTTCTCATTTTATTAGTAACTACATTTTATTAGTAGCTTTTTTCAGGTAAAAAACCCGTTTCATTAAAATTTAATTTGAAAAATCCTTGCTTAGTGGTACCTTCTTATGTCGGGAAATACTTTGCGCATACCTAATTACGACCACGGGCCGGAAGACGCAGTGTGGGCAGGCCCCCCACTAGGTGGACCGACGACCTGGTAAAAGTCACGGGAAGTGCCTGGATGCGAGCAGCGCAGGATCGGTCATTGTGGAAGTCCTCGGGGAAGGCCTTTGTCCAACAGTGGACGTCATTTAGCCGAAACGAACGAACCCAATAGCCAGCTGATAGAGACGACCAGTGGGTTATTATGGGCTCCCGACGGTGTCCACCGAAGCCCAAAGAAATGGAGCCGCAGGTTATTGTACTGACTTGGACATATTTTGTCCACAGATCCGTCTCAGGCTCCTCTTTTTTATTAAGTTGGATAATTTAATAGCGAAATTAATTTGTTACAGTGTCTTCTACACACGTTACGTCGACATAGGCGTGTGGGTGTACGACGTGTTGACAGCCGCCATTGGAACCATAATGTTCCCCACCATACTCTTCAGTCTATGGGCTCTGTCCTCTATTGGTTACCACCTGCAGTGGGTCCTCAAAGACATAGTCTGGAGACTACGGGATTCTTATAGTGTTAAGGGTGTTAAAAATAAATAGATTTTAACATTTTATTGGTTTTATTTCTTACAACCATTTATGTATGAAATTGGTTCAGAATAGATAGTTATAGATAGTATAGAAAAAAAATACGTGTTAGTTACACTACGAGTATTTATAACTCAAGAATGGGTAGATCAATTTAGAGATTAATTGAATTATCTCCTTTCTGGATAGAAGAATAGCTAATAAAAATATGGCGAAAATTAATTATTAAATAGTATTTTCGTATCAGACAGCAGTCTATGCTCGTATGTATTGACTGTTGGTGATGATGTACTTTTGAATAAAGCAAACATTTTTACACCCTATAAATGTATAACTCAAAGGTGACTGACTGACTGACATAGTGATCTATCAACGCACAGCCCAAACCACTGGACGAATCGAGCTGAAATTTGGCATGCAGTGTGCTTACCATGAGTTTACGTTAGGTGTGTGTGCTCGCTAGCGACTGCGTAAAAAAATGACATTTAATTGTATGACATATCGTGCAGCGCCTCTAGCGGCTACTTTCAAGAAACAAAATCTTCATAGAGATTTTTGACGTACTCGCTAGCGAGCACACCTAACGTAAACTCATGGTAGGTACACAGGTAGATGTTATAACGTAGGCATCCGCTAAGAAATGATTTTACGAAACTCCACTTCTAAGGGGGTAAAACGGTATCTACGCGTACGAAAACGCGGGCGGCCGCTAGTCTACTAATATTTTATGCATATCAAGGCAGGTATTTGACCACAATCGCACCTGATGTTAAGTGGGATGCAGTCTAGGATGGTAGGTACATATCTGCCCTGTTAGTGCCTATTCACTCTCGCCTTGAAAACGCCCGGATTATAGTCTTCGGGAAAGACAGCAGCAGGCAACGAATTCCAGTCCCTAGCTGTTCGCATTATAAAAGAGTCATCGAAACGCTTAGTGCGAGCTGGTGGAATGTCAACAATATAGGGATGGTACGCTAACCTGCGTCTGGTTCCCCGATGATGGAAGGGGGCTGGTGGAATTAGTTCGTATAATTCGTTCGCACATTCTCGAAAACCGATAGGTAAATTATCTAACTTACATACTACTAATATTATAAATGCGGAAGTTTGTATGGTTGTCTGTATGTTTGTCACTCTTTCAAACAAAAACTACAGAACGGATTTTGATGAAACTACAGTATTATTATTACATACATACATACATAATAGGCTATAATTTATGACGATCTGTGTCAAACTAAATATCACGCGGGTGAAGCCGCGGGCAAATGCTAGTATCTTATGTACAACCAATGTGTGTTACCAGTGATGACTTATGGTTCGGAAACGTGGCCTCTCACTGTAGTGAGAGTTTCCGTTATAAGGCCTATAGGCCTTATACAGAAGCTCAAAGATGCACAGCGTGCTATGGACAGCCATGCTCGGTGTTTCTTTACGAGATCGAATCAGAAATGAGGAGATCCGTAAACGAACTAAAGTCGCTGACATAGCCCGTCGGATTAGCAAGCTGAAATGGCAATGGGCAGGGCACTTAGTAGCAGAACTGACGGCCAATGGGGCAACATGGTTCTGGAATGGAGGCTGCGTACCGGAAAACGCAGCGTGAGACGTCCTCCCACAAGGTGGACCGACGACATCTGAAAGGTAGTGGGAAAGCGCTGGATGCAGGCCGCTACCAACCGGGTAACATGGAAAGCATTGGCGGAGGCCTATGTTCAGCAGTGGACGTGCTATAGCTGAGATGATGATGATGATTACTTAGGCAACCCTGTAGGTACAACGTTAGTGGACTGACTGACTAATCACGAAATCTCAGAAACTACAAGTGCTAGGAGTCTCAAATTTTGTAGAATGTAGGTGCCAAGAGGGGATTTTGCAAAATTAAATCCCTAAGGCGGTAAAACGGGATCCACACGTACGAAGTCGTGAGCGGCCGATAGTAGGTAATATTATATTATCTCAAACTCGTGTAAAACAATTACGTTTATAATTTTAAGTCAACAAAAAACATACCTAATTATGAAATATGAAAAACGAGTAGGTATTTGAAGCGACAAAACATACAGTCGCATCATTTTTGAAGTCTGTTAAAAAGTGCACGAACTTCGCCTGTCTGACTCGTATTCACAATGCATTATGTAAATTATATTTCCTACATAACAATAATGTCACATTTTGGGGGACATGTTAATGCATCCGTCGTCTTCCAAGGTGCTCTCTGTTACTCACAATTACCTACCTAAGTCTATCGCCAAACAACAATGTTAACAGCATTATTGTGTTCGGCAGTTAGAGGTAAGATACGGGACTATTCCCACGTCTCGTTCCCACCGCTGCAACTCCTGTGTAGTCAGGATCTACAGCTTGACCGCCAGCAACCCAACCAGTGAAGTCAAGTTTGTCCCGGAGGAAGTTAATTGTCATTGGACCCGCAACGAAATTAATCAGAAGAACATAAGAGGAGTTCGAAGTTAAGGTTCGAATCTAGTGCGTGTATTATACGAGTATTATCCATTGGTCGTTTGTTAGTCGTATACCTCGAAATCAAAAAATCCTTGTAGCTTTTCACCTATTCGCATTTCACCGTGATAGCGTTTATTGTTGTAGCGTGTAATATCGGTAGTATATTTTGTTACTAGCATATATTTTTAACAGATTTTTATAATAGTAGCAAATTTTGATGTAGCATGTTTTATCAATAGCCTATTTACAGTGAAGACAGGCAGGAAAGTAAATCTACTATGAATTTTTTAGACAATTGTAATTAGCGATCAAAAATTATACTACAAGAATAAAAATCTATTCAGAAATTTTGATATCGCGGCGAAATGCGAATAGGTGAAAAGCTACAAGAATTTTTTGATTTCGAGGTATACGACTAACAAACGAATTAATTTTCCTATATTTATTGGAATATTAGTGATTAAAATAAAAAGATTATATCTCCATAACTTAGGTTCAAAACGGTCCTGCGCTGCCCGCATCCAGGCTCTTCCCGCGACCTTTACCAGATCGTCGGTCCACCTAGTAGGAGGCCTGCCCACGCTACGTTTTCCAGCCCGTGGTCACCACTCGAGAACTTTCCTACCTACAATATTCTTACCAAATGGGTATCATTTCAGAGAATGGATAAGCACGCCACCCACCGGATCGTCGGCCATGGAGTATGCATGTTGCTGCAAGTGCTCATCTTCTTGAATATGCACAGGAAACTTGAGAAGAACTTGGCCACCCATCCTGAGCTGCAAGACTTTGCTGTCATGCTCCCAAGGTTCATGACGGTATGGAACGTGGTAAGAAATCTTTTTTTTTAAGATTAATACTAATTTGTTATTTCACAAATTCGTAGTATGTGCAGGCTTCCTACTAGGTGGACCGACGATCTGGTAAAGGTCGCGGGAAAAGACTGGATGCGGGCAGCGCCGGAACGTTCATTAAGGATATCCTTGGGGGAGACCTTTGTCCAGCAGTGGACGTCATTTGGCTAAAACGATTAGTCCCGTTTGACCATCGTTCGTTCGTTTCAGCCAAATGACGTCCACTGCTGGACAAAGGCCTCCCCCAAGGTTTTCCACAATGAACGGTCCTGCGCTGCCCGCATCCAGGCTCTTCCCGCGACCCTTACCAGATCGTCGGTCCACCTAGTAGGAGGCCTGCCCACGCTACGTTTTCCAGCCCGTGGTCGCCACTCGAGAACTTTCCTGCCCCAACGGCCATCGTCTCTACGAGCTATGTGCCCCGCCCACTGCCACTTGATTTTAGCAATTCTGCGAGCTATGTCGGTTACTTTGGTTCTCCTACGGATCTCCTCATTTCTGATTCGATCACGCAGGGAAACTCCGAGCATAGCCCGCTCCACTTGACCATCGTACTAAGCTAAATATGCTTGTGTCACGAGTGGGCTCACCACGATAGTCGAGCGGCGGCAGAGACCGAACCCGCGTTCCCCGGATCACGAGTCGGCCAGTCCGAATTCTTCACCGTTCGGCTATCGTGCCTTCGAAATCTATCGAAATCCATTACATCCATACACATCCACTCGAAAAGTGGTCGAAAAGCCTCTTTTTTGTATGGAGTTTTGACGGATTCGATTTTCGATTCGATCAAAAAGTGCGTTTTGTCTAGGGGGGCAGTTTTTTATGATCTGTCACGTCAGAAGTAATTATGTCAATGTCACCCCTCCCGTGCCACTACCATACCTCAGGCACTTTCTGAGTAACAGTTCAGCATTAGCTAGACCTGATAAAAAATATGTCCTCATTTCACACAGAGCCCAATCCCAAAGTAAGCAAAGTTAGTACAGTCGCGGAATGAAAAGGTTCGTCAGTTTTCAAATTGATTCCTTCAACGAATCGCGAGCACATAATAATATTACCTTTTGAAACTATGTTACAGTTTAATCTCGAGTTAGACAAAATAATCTTTAACTGTACTTAGTAAAGTTCAAAATTATTCAGATTAAAGTTATTTAACATTTTATCTTGTCAAGAAGATTATTATGATTGAACTAAAACCTTCTTGTTGGTTTAACCTGCCATTATTATTTCTATTAATTAAAAAAAAATACATTTTGTAACATTGCACTGATGGGACAGAAAAATAAGCAAAACCTTCTTCGTTAGCAAACGTCACATTTATTTAAATGTTAGCAGCACTGTTTCTTGCACTGTTATGTTGGCAGGTTTGACTCTTACAGTACCTAGTGCAAGCGAAAACCGACACTAAGGTGCCGAAACTTTTCATTCCGCGACTGTACAATAGGTTGTTGTTTACAAACATACCTGCCTAATTTTACTTCTGTGTAGTTTTACAGAGAACGACAAACCAAGGTTAACACTTTAGCATCTTACCTAGTTCTAAAATGTTCTATTATGCACCAAAAACCTAAAGTTAAGAAGGATCATCATCATCATCATTTTCAGCCATTTCATAAGACGTCCAATGCTGAACATAGGCCTCCCCCAATGATTTCCACAATGGCCGGTTGGTGGCGGCCTGCATCCAGCGCCTTCCCGCTACCTTTATGAGGTCGTCGGTCCACCTTAAGAAGTATATTTTTATTTATTTATTATTTTATGTTTCAGGGTTTCCAAGTCATGTATTCATATCTTGCACTTGCTTGCGACTTCACGACTGGTTTCAAGATTGAATCAGTAGTTCCAACTTGGTTAAGGAAGTTCAGATTCACTTTTGCTGTTGGGGTTCTGTATCCTTGGTCTTCCGTAAGTAGTATAGAAGTAAAGTCCAGTCGCCGAGCAGATAGAATTTCGTACAATGACCCCAAGCTACCAGTCCTTATCGCTCGCGCGTAATTATATTGCTGTCACGACTGTGCGATGGGCGGCCGCAGTGACTGTGCAAGCGCAACAGCAATACAATTACGCGCGAGCGATAAGGATGGGTAGCTTGGGGTCATTGGACAAAATTCTACGTGCTCACAGACTACAGTATAGATATAGTATAGAAGTAGTATATTACAACACGGTCGAGTGAACTGCGCAACTGGCGGCCATGACGTCACATCGACGCTCTGGTACGGACAAGGGATGTTATGGATATGTAGTTTCGGTTATGGATACGGTTACGGATATTTTTTTATTTCGGATATCCAAAAGTTTCGGTTACGGATATCTGTGCTTTAGAATGCAATAAAATAAAAAAAAATATATATACTAGATGGCATTATAAAGTTAAATCAGGCTGTTATGCCTTTACATAATGCAATACAAAATACAATTTAAACTGAAACCATCCGAAACTTTTGAATCGGTTACGGTTACGGATATTTTTTTATTTCGGATATCCGAAAGTTTCGGTTACGGTTACGGATATCCATGACATCCCTGGTACGGACGCTGGGAGATGTGCGGTTTAGTGCGAGGAGAGTTGCAACCCAGAGAGTTAGCTTGACCGGGTCACACTACGGGACTATTCCCACCTCTCGTCCCCACCGCTGCAACTCCTGTGCAGCCAGGATCTACAGCTTGACCGCCAACAAAAACACAACCAGTGAAGGTCAAATTTTTCCCGGAAAAAAGTTAAACTTACTTTATAAGTTACTAGCGGCCGCCTGCGACTTCATACGCGTGGATCCCGTTTTACCCCCTCAGGGATGGAGTTTCATAAAATCCTTTCTTAGCGGACGCCTACATCATAACATCTGCCTGCATGCCAAATTTCAGCCCGATCCGTCCAGTGGTTCGGGCTGTGCGTTGATAGATCACTATGTCAATCAGTCAGTCAGTCACCTTTGAGTTATATACAAGGTTATTTTTTGTTTATACGAAAGCCGAAACACGTGTCACGTATTTTAATCTTTAGAATCAGTATAAAAAAATTAAAATGATATCTTAAAAACTCACGACGTTCCAAGCTTTATTAATTGTTGTACCCATTATCCGCACGCGAGTGTAGACATCGTACAGCGCGCGGCACTTTTTCGCGAATTAATCGATAGCTTCCGGGTCACTGGCAATTATTATACTGATTATTATTATTTTTATTGATTTAATATGATTTTGATTATTTAATGCAATTATTATTATTATTGAAATTTTATGTGCCCTGGCCTGAAATAAATGAATTTTATTTTATTTTTTATTTTTTACTGGCGCGGGGTAAGGGAAGCGCCTCTCGTGCGGCGAGAAGGCGTGCCTCGGCCTTGATTGACCTTGCGCCCTCGCATCTAGTGTTCATTCGAAAAAGCCTTCTCCATCGATAGGCCTATCGATAGTATCGATACTGTCGATACTATCGATAGCTCAAAACGAGGCAAGAATATGTGTTATCCAATACTATCGATAGTCTAGAACAATCGATAGTATCAATACTATCGATAGTATCGATATATTTTTATTCAAAAGCTACAATACCTACTATCGATGGTATCGATACTATCGATAGTTTATTCTTTACGAGCAACAATACTATCGATAGTATCGATAGTATTGCACATATTCAATAGTATTGCCTCATTTTGAGCTATCGATAGTATCGACAGTATCGATACTATCGATAGGCCAATCAATAGTCTTGCGATAGTTTGGCTATCGATAGACTATCGATAGTCGACTATCGATCGGCAACACTACTCGCATCATAATAAAATTATGTACTGCGCGTACGCGCAGAACATTTTAGTAAGGTGTCCGTAAATTATGGATTTCTAAATATTATTTAGTCAAAATGTAACATGATATAAAAAATATTGCGATGGATTCTATTACTGATTCTGAAAAAATAGTTTTAAGGTTTTGTATATACTAAAAATAACCTTGTATATTTAGATTAATGTTTTATATTTCATTTTCAGGCAATACTATCTTTCTGGGTGTTCTTTTTCTATGACCGAGAGCTGATACTACCTCAACACCTGGACATCGTCGTTTCACCGGCATGTAATTTTGTATGGCATGGATTTATCATGGTATACGCCTTATGGGAGTTGAAATTCTTACCGCAATTACAAAAGACATTGGCGAGCTTCACGTTATTGATCACCACCACCTGTCTGTATACAGGAGTGTAAGTATCATCATCATCATCATCATAATCATCATCATCAAGTCATATCATCCTGTATTTTTATTTCATAGATAAAATTAAATTAGGGTTAATTATAAGGATGAAATCTCTCTAAAAAAACTGGATAAATCAAATGAAAAGAAAACGATGAAATCTTAAATGATTTTAATTGCTCAGAAAAAATGTCGGAAATCCATGAACGCAGTTATCTTTCTTTTCAAAAAGAAAATAATGTTTTCTTTAAGTAAAATTCATTTCCTATCTACAGGTATTAAGAGTACCTACTTTCCCTTCAGTGTGCTTTTTAGGGTTCCGTAGCCAAATGGCAAAAAACGGAACCCTTATAGATTCGTCATGTCTGTCTGTCCGTCCGTCCGTCTGTCCGTCAGTATGTCACAGCCATTTTTTTCCGAAACTATAAGAGCTATACTGTTGAAACTTGGTAAGCCTAGATGTATTCTGTGAACCGCATTAAGATTTTGATGCAAAAATAAAAAAACAGTAATAAATATTGGGGGCTCCCCATACTTAGAACTGAAACTCACAAATTTTTTTTCCGTCAAACACAAACGTGTGGTTCGAGGTTTCTAAAATACTTTTTTTCTAAACCGAATAGTTTTCGTGACAGACGCTTCCAAAGTGGAAAAAAGTTGGTCCCCCCCCCCCCTCTAACTTCTAAAATAAGAAAATGAAAAATCTAAAAAAAACATATGATGTACATACCTACCTAAAAACTACCAACGAAAATTGTTTTGAACGAGATCTAGTAAGTAGTTTTTTTTTAATACCTCGTAAATCGTAAACCGCTTATTACCGCGTAATCTTTCATACAAATAAATTAAAAAATAATAATAATTTCATAAATCAATGGTACGGTACCCTTTGTGCGTGAGTCCGACACGCACTTGGCCGGTTTTTGAGTTTACGTGAGTGCGTCAAAAAATCTTAGAAGATTTTATTTCTTGAAAGTAGCCGCTAGGGGCGCTGTACAATCTGTCTTGAATTTAGTGTTATTTTTTTACGCAGTCGCTAGTGAGCACACCTAATATGAACAAATAGATCGTTTCATCCACGAAGACGCGCCCCACCATTCTTCCGCTAATTTTTCACTGTTATCGGTAGGTAGGTACTACACGCTAAATTATCAATGAGTGCACAGCCACACTACAATAATGATGTTCGGATTGCTCGGATCAAACTCCCCGCACCCCGCGCTTTCCTCGACCAAAAAGTGGTGGCGCGTCTTCGTGGATGAAACGATTTATAAGCACAGCTGGCATTACAAAATTCTTACCTGTATTTAATTATATTTTTTATTCATTTCAGATTATTCTACACCAGATACGTAGACCTCGGAAGATGGCCGTACGCCATTCTCGCGCTGAACGAAGGGACGAAATACGAGAGCATTCTAATCTGGGTGGTTGCTCTCGGTGGCATTTATAATTATTTCGTCCAGTTTCGACTCAAAAACTATTTGGAGGGTCGTCAAAATAAGTTATGTACAGTCGCGGAATGAAAAGGTTCGTCACCTTAGTGTCGGTTTTCGCTTGCACTAGGTACTGTAAGAATCAAACCTGCCAACATAACAGAGCAAGAAACAGTGCTGCTAACATTAAAATAAATGTGACGTTTGCTAACGAATAAGGTTTTGCTTGTTTATTTTTCTATCCCATCAGTGCAATGCAATGATGACTTTTTTTTTTTTTTTTGAACAGATTTAACGGCTTTTTTTTTTTTTTTTTCTAACAGGTTTAACGGCTTCGGATAGTATCCTTACGGCCAAATCTTTAGTGACGCATTTCTAGTAGTATTTTCATCCATGAGTACATTCTGAGTATTTACAATGGATATGAGTTGAGGATTTCTGTTCTTCTGTGTCTATGTTGAAATGTCTTCATAAATTTATATGAGTATTTACAATGTACTGGTAAATATGTTGGTATGACTTCTCATTCGCTAGTATGGATGGCAAGAGGCGGGGAATATTTTCATCTTCTTGATAGATCTTCAGTAAGCCATCCACTAGCAAAAGCCTTTCCAAATTAAAGGCTGGGCAATGAAGAATAAGATGGTCTAAGTCTGCCGCGTCTGCCTGACAAAATTCGCATTTATCTGTAGAGACCATTTTAATCCGTTTAAGGTGGGTTGGAAATTTTGCATGTCCAAGTCGTAAGCGATTCATTGTAGTGATGAATCTTCTTGAGGTAGTACTTTGCGACTTGCAGTACCATGGTTTTCTTGGAAGTGTTTGTTGTATTTGTCCATACCATTTTCCCTTGGTTAATTTAGTGATATTCCACTCTTCGTGCCAATTATCGAACATACGGGTTTTCAAGATGGAGTCATAGTCTGAGATGGGTACAGGGGGCGCTGGATATCGTGAATCGCCGCTGTATGGACTTACTATCTTCATCAGTCTGTCTACTATTTCATTACCGGTAATCCCAGAATGCGAGGGGACCCACATAAACTCTATTTGCTTGCAATCATTATTCAATAGTATTTCTCTTATTTTAGTTATGTAGATGTTGGTCTTGTAATGAATATGAGTGTTTTGAAGACAAGTGAGGACACTCAAGGAGTCGGTAACAATCAAGAAAGTATTTTCATCTCTTATTCCTCCAATATATTGCAATGCAGTATATATTGCATAGGCTTCCGCCGTGAAAATCGATGCGTTCTTATCAAGTGTGAAACATCTCCCAAACTTATCTCTTGAATCATAATACGCTGCTTTAGTATTTTCCTCAGTTTTAGAACCGTCTGTGTATATCTTCCGATGCCGAAACTTTTCGCTATTTACAAATTGGACAAACTCATAGTTGTTATTAACTTTCTTCAAGCAAACCGTTGGTATCTTAGTTTGAATTTCTAATGTACTTAGATCCCAATTTATCCTATGGTCTATGCATTTACAAATTTCTTTTAGCTCATTTAAATGCTCACATTGCAAAAGACAATTATTGCAATACAAATTAAAATACATTTTATTACTTAAAATCTTAAGATAAAACTTTTCTGTTAGATATCTAAGTCTAACCAAAATTGGTGGAATCCCGGACTCTATTTCTAAGGAATTTATTGGAGTTGAACAAAAAGCTCCAGTTATAATTCTTAATCCCTTGTTTTGAATGACTTCTAGCTTACGATACAAAAAATTACTTAGATATCTCCCATAAACAACAAGTCCATAGTCATAATGAGATCTAACTATAGCCTTATAGACCATATTTAAAATTTTTGGGTCCATTCCCCACGTAACACTTGCTAAGTGTCTCATGATATTTACAGTTTTTTGCATTTTATCTACAATTTTAAGCACATGAGAATGAAAAATTAATTGAGAGTCAAAAATAATACCTAAAAATCTCTTTTCTTCCACTAATTGAATATTTACAGAATTATATATGTTACAGGAAATGTATGAATTCTAGGAATTGTATACTATTCCTAGGAAATGTATACAATTCCGAAGCTATTTAGGAAATGTATAAAATATTGCTTCAGAGATTTTTTAATACGCACATATCCTAGGAAATGTATACTTTTCCTAGGAATTTTATAGAATTCCAATATTGTATTAGGAAATGTATAAAACTAAGCGGCACAAGCGTGGTCGCGTGATCGGGTGCTCCTCGGTACGCCTAAAATTTCATTTGGCCAAACCACATTGGCCGATAGGTACTTTTAACTCACAATTATTATTGTTTAGCCTGACAGTTGTTTTCGCACTATTATACTTTGGCCGAAAAAAATATTTGCCTATTGGCATCCTTTCTTTTGGCATCACGCATATTACGCTGAAGTATTGGAAATCCCTAATTTTAACATCTCTTTTATTAACCTTATTGGCATGAAAGTTTTAATACTTCTGTAGCTGGATAACAAAGTCTCGGTTATGTTAGGTTAGGCTTGCGACCTTACACATACACAGCTGCCGCGGCGCGGTAGCGCCATTTAAGTTTTGGAGAAAAAAAGAAAAAGTGGCGTAATAAAAATAATGTTGTGTAAAAAAATTTTAGGCTTAAAATTTGTGTGCCAGAGACAACTAGGCGTGCCAAAAATTGTACGATTCGATAGAGACCCCGCGTAATCGGATGATGCAATATCCTCCCCTCGCACCGTATGTCCACGCGTATTCATTGAAATCTTAATTACATTTCCGATTGCTGTTTAGGAAATGTGTAAATTTCCTAGGAAATGTGTCTAATATAATTTACATCACACATTTCCGGATGATTTTAGGACTTATACACAATTCCTAGGAATTGTATACAATGACGGATTTCATATATTTCCTGTAACATATACAATATTTACATGATCACGAGACTGAGAATCATTTTTCTTAGTGAAAATCATGCCCGAGCTTTTAGTGGGATTTACATCTAGTTTCAACTTAACATTATAATACAAATATAATTGACGTAAAGCTTCATTAATAGTAAATTCGGCAAGTGATAAATTTCTATTAGTAGTGTACAACACAATATCATCTGCATATTGCAAAACCGATAATCTAGGAACTGAAATAAACCTATGTATTTGAGATGTGTACAGCAAGTAAATCAAGGGTGATAAGGTGGCCCCCTGAGGAACCCCTTTATAAACTAATTTTGGACCATGAAGGACATTGTTGAACTTTAAATAAACGGTACGCGAATAAAAAAAATCAAAAATCCATTTGCACACTTTACCTGGGATATTGAAGCTATGTAGAATCTCAACAAGGGTTAAAAGATTGACGTTATCAAACGCTCCACTCACATCTAAGAAGGTACATAATAAATAGCTGTGATCACAAAAAGATTCTTGAATATCACCTGTGAACTTTACAAGACTATCTAATGTAGAACGGCCTTTACGAAACCCAAATTGATCGTGAGGGATAATTAATCTAGATTCCACAAAAAGTTCTAATCTAGTCTTTAACATATTTTCAAAAATTTTCCCTACACAAGAAGATAAAGAAATAGGTCTGTAAGAATCAGCATATTTAGGATCCTTATCCGGTTTGAGAATAGGAACTACAGCGATAGTTTTCCATGACTTTGGTATTAAGCCAGCGGACCACAAATTGTTGAAAATATTAAGCAAAATTAATTTAGCTGAAGGGTCTAAGCGTTTAATCAAAATATACGGAATATCATCAAGTCCTGGAGAAGTGTCTTTTTTAGAATTTAAAGAAAAATTAAACTCTGTTTCAGTAAAAAGTGAATTCAAATGTATATTAAAATCATTAAAAACAAATAAATTGTTGAGGTGGTCAGTATCTACAGAATCATGATTAGGAGCTATTTTATCAAAAAAATCTTGTAAAAATTCTTCATCTTTGCTATCAGGCTTTGAAGCTTTTCTATTAAAAACTTTAATGAACTTCCATATTTTGCTGATTGGTGTACAACGATCAAAGCTAGAACACAATTTTTTCCAACTGATTATCTTTTGTTCTTTAATAATCAATCTTTTAGATGCTTCAAGTTTTTTATAAATAATGTAATTTTCTATTGTTGGATGACGTCTATACATATGAAGAGCTAATTTAGTTTCCTTAACTGCATTGGAACAAGTTTCATTCCACCATGGCATAGGCTTATAAACTTTGCGTCTATTATTACTATCATAAGTGTGTATCGGTATAAAATCTTTTCTCAAAGCATTTAATAAGTCACAAAATTCTGCATAAGCAAAGAGCGGGTCTGGATAATCAAGAAGATGATTAAAAATCGTTCTAGATTTNCATGGCATAGGTTTATAAACTTTGCGTCTATTATTGCTATCATAAGTGTGTATCGGTATAAAATCTTTTCTCAAAGTATTTAATAAATCACAAAATTCTGCATAAGCAAAGAGTGGGTCTGGATAATCAAGAAGATGATTAAAAAACGTTCTAGACTTGATTGTATAACCTAACCAGTCAGCTTTTTTGTAAATAAACTTTTCAAAACCACAGGAATCTTGATATATTTCACAATCATAATATAAGTTGACTAAAGTAGGAAAATGATAGCTTCCTAAGGTATCCTCTGTATAAACCGACCACTCTGCTGAAGCTGCTAATGAAGGAGATACGAATGCAATATCAATTGCTGATGCCGATTGATTGGGACGATTTAGCGTGGTAGGCTGACCATCATTTAATATACACATATTAATTTCATCCAGCATGTCATAAATCTGGATACCTCTTGGCTTGTTAGTAGAGGACCCAAATGCTGTATGGTGGGCATTGAAGTCACCCATTACTAGAACTGGAGAAGGTAAAGAGCTAATAATATTTTTTAAATTAGTTACTGGAAATCGGCCAGGACGTGGAGGACAATACGCACCAAAAACTGTTATTGAGCTATTACGATTTACTTTTACACTAATGGCTAAAGTTTGGATTCTATCAATACTTGCTGTAACAATTTCTGATGTTAAAAGAGAGTTTTTGCAAATAATAGCAACACCACCGTAACCATTGTCACTGTCATTTCTAAATATTTTATAACCTCTAAATTTTACTGAATCTGATGATTTTAACCAAGTTTCATTGAGAATTAAAATATCAATATTAAGTGTAATTAAAAGCTCACTTACGAAGGGAGTCTTAGGCTTAAGACTCTGAATATTGTGTTGAACAATAACTAAAGACTTACTATCCATTTTGAGAAACTTTCTTTAAAAACATTTCTTTGATATTAGAGGAATTAATTGGCAAGCTGTTTTCTTTGTCACAAAAAGTTAATAAAGTATCAACAATAGCTTTAATAATTAGATCATTATTGATAACATCAGTCAACAAGTTTTTATTTTTAATCTCTTTAGTGTCTTTGACATTTTGTTGTTGGGGTCGGGAACCTATTGCTTTGGCAAAGGATTTGTTTAAAGTTGGGAAGAAAGAACCCAAAGTAGTTTTGTTCATTATTTTATATTTGTTTTCTTCAATTTTCTGTTGTTTAACTGGACAAATCCTTGCCACAGCAATATGCTCGCCTTTACAATTGACACATAGAGGTTTGTTTGCATTTGTACATTCTTTGTATGAGTGAGATTGTGAACATATAGAGCATACGATGTTCCTTTTACAAAATTTAGTAGTATGACCAAATGCCATACATTTATAACACTGCATTACAGGCTTAATGTATTCAGTTACAGGTACAATGCTTAGACCATAGTTAACATGCTCGGGGAGTACATTACCTGCAAAGGTCAGAGATACAGTTTGCAATGGGATGATACCTTCAGGAGTGCGCTTCGTGAACCTTCTGACTGCCAGGATCTCCTGTGAACTGAGAAGTTTGTCAAATAGATGTTTGCAGCTAAGATCTGTGGGAATGTATCGTATAACTCCTATGCATTCTGATGTTGCCGCAGGGATGAAGGCTTTGATGTCATGAGAAGACAAGAATGTTGAGTTAAACAGTAACGCATTAGCATTCTTTGCATTATCAAAAATAACAGCATACCGCATTGCATTCACTCGTTTTATTTCTTTGACTCCCTTGTTGTACCGACTAAAAATGCTATTTAGGTAGATAGGGTCCTTGTTTCCAAACTTTACAGTGTCATTTGTGCTTTGTATGTATACAGGAAATATACAACCTGGAGAATTATCAGGATAACAACGTATATGGTTCTTCTTGTAGTATGGTGCATGTATAGACTCATCATCTTGTACTTCATCTACTTTTCTCTTCTTAGTATTATGCTTGAGGTCTTTACCCCCACTGTCAGAACTCATCTCGCCACTATAGCCGCTAATTTACTGTTAGATTAACTATTTAATTAAATTTTATTAAACTCGCAAAGAAAAAGTTGAACCTCCCGCCTCGAGAGCTTCCCGCCAAAAAAACAATGCAATGATGACATTGACCAATTGACAATATTTTTTTTTTATTTAATAGAAACAATAATGGCAGGTTGAACCAACAAGAAGGTTTTAGTTTACAATCATAATAATCTTCTTGACAAGATAAATCGTCAAACAACTTTGATCTGAATAATTTTGAACTTTACTGACGAACAGTTAAAGATTATTTTCTCTAACTCGAGATTATTCTGTAACATAGTTTCAAAAGGTAACATGTGCTCGCGATTCGTTGAAGGAATCAATTTGAAAACTGACGAACCTTTTCATTCCGTGACTGTACATAATTAATAATATTATATTTAATAAAAATAACTTAAAAACTGTATTATGATAAAATACAGTAAGTACAATGTATTTCAAAAACAATCGTTATTTTCGTTCTCCTTTCCTCTAATTTTTAAGTTAGTAAATTATGTCAACATTCCTTGTGTAACATTTATGTATTTGTTAATTATTATTTATTTATTTTATAACACACCGCATTTCGACATTGTTTTAAAACTGTGGTTTTTAAACGTATTTGCTCTTGTGATTAGTGATTAGGTACAGTCACGGAATGAAAAGGTTCGTCAGTTTTCAAATTGATTCCTTCAACGAATCGCGAGCACATATTACCTTTTGAAACTATGTTACAGAATAATCTCGAGTTAGAGAAAATAATCTTTAACTGTTCGCCAGTAAAGTTCAAAATTATTCAGATCAAAGTTGTTTGTCAAGAAGATTAATATGATTGATAAACTAAAACCTTCTCGTTGGTTCAACCTGCCATTATTATTTCTATTAAATATAAAAAAACTATTGTCAATTTGTCAATGTCATCATTGCTTTGCACTGATGGGATAGAAAAATAAACAAGCAAAACCTTATTTGTTAGCAAACGTCATATTTATTTAAATGTTAGCAGCACTGTTTCTTGCACTGTTATGTTGGCAGCTTTGACTCTTACAGTACCTAGTGCAAGCGAAAATCGACACTAAGGTGACGAACCTTTTCATTCTGCGACTGTACATTACATTTTAGTTGTCAAATAAAGAAAACACAAAAAATGTGGAATAACCAACTTTTATAATATTCTAAAGTAAAATAATCTTGAAATCAATTGGTTCAGTTTCAGTCGTTTTATTATTCTTCACCGTATCTTATTCACAAAATTGCTTGACTTTATTAGTATACAGTAAAATACATACGCCCGTATTCACAAACGATGCTTGCTTAGCAAATGGAACGCACCGCGTTGAATGAGCTCTGAAATTGGTTCGTATCACCCTGTGCGAGTTCGAGACCTCATAGTAATGTTTGTGAATACGGGAATACGAATTAAAGTTAACAATTCATTAAAAAATATTTATTATGAATTAAAATATTCATTACTGATTGAAAAGTCATCAAACTTCCAAATAATAGTCCCTGATCCTATACAAAACATTTTTCACAGTCCATTGAGCATGAAACGTCACAATAGGCAGAACTATCCAGAAGAAAAACAGCAGTAGTATGGGAATACCGCCTTCAATGTGTTCTAATATTGCATACAACCAAATGCCAGGCTCCACGTACTTTGTGTACAGGACGCTGAAAATAAACAAAAAATAACTACTTTAAAAAAAATTGGACCCCCGCCCGTTTCATCCCTTAGGATGTGATAAGGGGGTGAAAGTTTCTTCCCCGTTTCATCCACTTAGAAGGTACTAAAGGAAAAGGAAAGAAAGAAAGATACATTTATTGCCATGGACATCACAAAAGACAAAAGAGGTAAATAAAAAAAGCAAACAAGACATAGGCAGAGGTAACACATAAAACATAGGTACAATTGAAGAGAAAGTAAACTGAACGAACAGTGCCACCCTGTCGCACAGCTATGCCCATCGCAATAGGACCCCACTCAGCAAATGCCGTGGCCCCCGGTGAGGGAGGCCACGACGCTGGTTTTCAGTGTGCCCCATGCCGAGTGGGAGTCACGGACACTAACCTATAGTGCATAAAATATACATAAAGGGATGAAACGTCGATTCATAGTTAATCAATAAAGTAACAGTTAAAATTAAAAATCTTTGGACCCTAATTTCATCCCCTTAGGAGGTGATAGGGGGTTGAAACGGGCGTCCAAAGTTTGTATAGAGAGAAACAAGAGACTGTAGTTCACAAAGCCGAGGTGTCGAGAATTCATCGTCATCATCATTTCAGCCACAGGATGTCTCTCTTCTCTTCTTTTCTCATAAATGTAGCAAGAAGGCACTGAATACAGGTCGCTACCAACCGGGCGATGTGGAAATCATTAGGACCTCCCCTAAGTTCAGCAGTGGACGTCCTGTGGCTGAAACGATGATGATGATGATGATGATGATGTCCCCTGCTGAACTAGGCCTCCCCAGATTGGCCGGTTGTCAACGACTTGCATCCAGTGCTTTCCTGTAACCTTTACGAGGTCATCTACACTCGGCGTCAAATAAATCGCACCTCCCGCGACAAACATTTTTCAAACGTATGCATCCCCACTTCCCACCAATATTGGAACCATTTGAAAGCCTAGTTCTAAACTTCATTTCATTAAAGGAAAGGTTTTTACCCAAAAAATGTGTCTTTAGAAGGATCCAGAGTCTCTTCTTAAAGCGACAGGTTACGCTTGAACCAACTTTTATGGCTATAAAAGTGTTATTTTGGGATTAATCGCTATCCATCTGTTAAAGAGGACACGTGAGATCATTAATTGGTTTTATAACCACAAAAATTGGTCTACTTGGTCCCAGAGGTGAGCCCCAAGTGAGACCTTTATTCAAGTCACATTTATGGTACCTGTTAATTGTTTATAAAAAAAAGTGTTTTTCAAGTTAATATTGGGCTTTCAAATTAATAACACTATATTGTTGGGGCACCATGATTGTGTCAGAAGAAAATCTTTAAAGTTCGCGTCGCGGAAGGTGCGATTTATTTGATATTGAATGTACAATATCTGGTCAGGATTTAACAGACAGTTAAAAAACTTACTTCATAAAGTACGCCGTATTCACCATTATAATAGGCAAAACATTAACCTCTCTTTTCCGTAGAATGTTGGGTAAAAACGCCATTTCCCAGCAAACGTATAGCAGAGTAAACCCATGGACTATGATGTTCTGCAGCTTCGATATTATGGTGTCGTTAATGGATGGGAAAATGAGCTCTCTATCAAAGCAGTATAGAGGCCAAAATGTGAAAAATATTCCCTGAAACATAACACAAAAGATGGTCAACCATTTAACTAACTACTGTAAAAAAATACTTCAATCTTGCCCTAAAACTCTATTGGACTTCAATGAACTGTAAAATTATTCATCAGTCACAATGAGTGCGCAAATAAGTGACGTCGTAACTTTTTAAAAGATGAAACAGTTGCTGTGTTGTAGGTGCTGTTCGTTGACCAGGCTAGGTGCTATATCGACGGGTGCTCTAACTGGACTACGTCGGGGCACATAGCTCGTGAGACTGTTGGCCGTTGGGGCTGTAAAGTTCTCGAGTGGCGACCAAGGTCCGAAAGTCGTAGTGTGAGCAGGCCCCCAAGCACTAGGTGGACTGACGAACTGGTGGTACCTGGCTGCAGGGCAACCTAACTGGTCGTTGTGAAAACCCTGGGAGGCAGCAGTGAACGTCATTTAGCTGAAACGAATGAAAGAAAAATTATATCTAAAGCCGGGTCCGTGAGCATGTAGAATTTTGTCCAATGACCCCAAGCTATAGCCCTTATCGCTCGCGCGTAATTATGTTGCTGTCGCGCTCGCACGGCTGGAAGACGTAGCGTGGGCAGGCCTCCTACTAGGTGGACCGACGATCTGGTATAAGTCGCGGGAAGAGCCTGGATGACCTTGGGGGAGGCCTTTGTCCAGCAGTGGACGTCATTTGGCTGAAACGAACGCGCTCGCACACTCACTGCAGGCGCCCGTCGCACAGTCGCGACAGCAACATAATTACGCGCGAGCGATAAGGATGGGTAGCTTGGGGTCATAGGATAAAATTCTACGTGCTCACAGACCGGGCTTTACATACTTACGGTAAGTAACTTACCACACAACACGGAAACACGAGCTGGTGGAATACTTTGTATCTCAGCTCCCTGATCTTCGAAGGGACCTTATTTTCTTCCCTCTGGACTATGGAGAAGTCGCACACAAACCCTAGAGCGCTGTACATGAGCAGGATTATCTGGAAAGTAATTGTTTATATTCAACCGATGGATATAGAGGAAAGGTCAATTTGGTACTGATGTAAATAAATTAAAGAGGACTCATGAAGACTTGTAAGATCCTTGAAGAAATAAAAATAAAGTGTACTTTTTCTGTTTCTGTGACTGAAAAACATTGAAATGAAATGAAAAACAACTAGCTTTTGCCCGCGGCTTCAACCGCGTGAGTTTCGTTCTGACACAGTCTTTATCGTAAATTTTTTTCGTAATTAGCGACTCTGTAAAAGAAATATACCCATGTTGATTTTGAGACTTGAAAAATGGGGAAATGGGGTGGATTTCTCCCTTTTTGGGCATGAATTCAGAAAAAATGGATGAAATTTGGAATAAAACGGTCCAACGATGTTTTTTTGCCCATACAAACTTTGAACCCTCGTTTCACCCTCTTAGAGGGTTTTAAAAATGCTTTCCTATTTGTGTATTTTTGAGTAATTCTTATAGATATCTTAGTTCTTACCACGTTCCAAATGGTAGCATATCTGAAGAATAGGACGCGAAGTATTGCCAGCTCAGGATGTCGAGGAATATAGGTCAACATAGAAATTAGTGTCACTAAGCCATTGAACGCTAGCAATAGGAATATTGTGGCGTTCCCCCCTATCCGGCGGTAGATGTATTTGTCCATAGATCTGGAAAAACATCGCAAAAGGATTCCTTAATATTTTAGGAAAATTTTAAAAAATAAATTTAAACTAGCGGCCGCCCGCGACTTCGTACGTGTGGATCCCGTTTTATCCCCTTAGGGGTGGAATTTCGTAAAATCCTTTCTTAGCGGATGCCTGCATATCAAATTTCAGCCCGATTCGTCCAGTGGATTGGGCTGTGCGTTGATAGGTCACTATGTCAGTCAGTCAGTCACCTTTAAGTTATATATTTAGAAGATAGACATGGAGACATCGGATATAAAGGTAGGCCCGCATTAGTGCGGCGCTACACGGCACTGCACTGCGCGTCAAAATATTGTCTTGTAAGCAACTGTGCTGCGACGCGCAGTGACGCTCATTGCAGCGCCACCATAATGTAATATATCTACTCCATACAACATGACTGAAAGAATAAAGGTCATAGCAGACATATCAACTCGGAAAGGGATCGACACTGTATTTTGCGAGCTGTCATCGCCTTTCGCGCGTTGTCAATCGCAAGGCGAGGCGTTTACGTTACGGTGCGTATAAATTATATGCGTTGATGTATGGAGTTTCATACAAAGAATACTGACCGCCTCGAGTTGATACGTGGGACACTATTTAAGTTGTGAGCCTAACTATGAAAACAATGTAGTTTATTATTAAAATGGTATTGATTGCGTTTATTGGTATTGTCTTTCATGATTTATGTACTTTTTAATGTGTCCGAAACACTTTTCATAGCATTTTTTCCACTCAGCTTGAGGCACCTCCAAAGCATGGTTTTTAACCGCACCGACAGTTGCTTCTGGCTACATAAATCGCTGTTAACGCATTTAATTTTAATATATGGGTACCAAAAGAAGTGTTTAGATTCCAAGCAAGAATTTTGTAGCGTTGGACCGGTTTATTTCATATTTTGAGTGTTCAAATAGTCAGTTGTTTGACGAAACGTGTAAAAGCTCACATTTTCGTCACGAATGGCGATTCGACTATGCTGGTCCGTTTCCCTTATTAAACTGAAGACTTTTGGAAAAAAGTGGCTGTTTACTATTAAGAATTAACCATTCTAAATTTCTCTAGTGATGTTTGTGTCATATAATCGGATATTTCGGAAAAATAGGCGACCGTAAATTTCAAAATGTTCCGAGCGCATGGGACTTTTGTTTTAATTGGTTCATCTTAAAACACCTCCATAGTCGATAGCTGTTTATTTTCAGGATCATTATGCATAGAATTTTAATTCGTCAACTGTCACAATTTTAAAAACGGCTTTTAAAGCTTTTTAAACGTATTTATCAAACATTTCCAAGGACTAAACGACACAAGTGTCCTATTGAGCGTTTGAAAAATTTTTTTGACATCCAGCGAGAAAAAAACGTATTAACCATAATATGGTCATACAATATTTTATTACCGCTAGTGAAATTAATGCCTAGGATTATCTCAATCCTACGATACATCACATGACGAGGTTTCTCTTCCATTTTTCTGACAACTTCAATGTTTTCCGCCACTATTAGTCATTTTGAACGACTTTCGCAAAGTTCACTGGTGAGCCAATGACATACAATATTATACTTCTTAAACTAGCGTTTTACAATGGTAAAGGACAGATCTTTATCACCAAAAGTGAAATTTAGCTGACCGCTTCAGTTTTGTATTGATTAGCCACGTCAAAAGTCATAATAAATCTTCGCGCGAAAATTTCCGCAAGTCAATTCCATGTTTTTGTAGTCAAGATAATTTTCAATTCAATGTTAATAATACAAAACGTGCTCAAATGATAAAAAGTTTTGAATAAGGTTGTAGTAAAAAATTACAAACTTTTCATTAAAAGTATCAGATGTCGTCTAACAACACGTTATGTTGTCGAGGCTCACAACTTAAATAGTGCCCTAGTACAGCTACGATCCCTTTTCGGGTTGATAAATGTGCTACGGCCTTAATTTGACGCTTTGTGTCGCGGTAAGCCACTCAAATACGATAATATAAGCAAGGTTTTGGTTTAGACTTTGGTCTGTAAAAAATATGTATTTTTACAGCTAAAAAATAAAGAAGACGCGAGTTCGTCGTAAAATGAACTTAGTATGAGAAATGGTTGCACGAAACTTATTTTGAGGATCAAAATTGTCACGTTATCGTTTAATTCGAAGGTTGAGTATCGAATTTTGTCGAATACGCAAACGATTCGAAGACAAAAATTGTTCATGCTAGAGGTACTGGTACCACACTGGTACTTACCGAATCACTGGAGACGCGTGTTCCACATAGCCCACTGTTCTGCTCACGTCTGTGTCTAAACTTGCTAAATGCATTTTCTCGTATTTTACTTCATTGTTACATTGAAAACGTCCTTGGTTTCCCAGAATCAAGGTAATTCGACCAATTAGAAGGTTGAAGGTATCTTCTTTTTCACTCAAGTCTGCAAGTCCTGCAATTAACAATTTTCACAGAATAATTTGGTGTTTATTATTAACAAGTTTTATTGGTGATAAAGCCTATAATCCCTAAGCAGGCTCTGGATTGGAACCCCCAAGGAAAACGCAAACGTGGTCGCCCTAAGCAAACTTGGCGATGCACTGCAGCAGACCAGGCGAAGAAAATCGGCAAGACCTGGAGCGAGATCAAGCGCGAAGCTCAAGACCGAACGCGATGGAGGACTGTTGTGTACGCCCTCTGCCCCATCTAGGGGACATAGGACCTTAAGTCATTGGTCATAAAGCGGCAGGGTTCGGGAAATGTTCGAATGTTGCGTATACATTCGTCCAAAATACCTCAGTGCCTAAAGACGAAAGTCTACGTTAAGGGGCAGCAAGGTTCTGGAGTGGGGCAGTAGGCAAATACATAAGTAGCTCGTAGAACTGAAGACGGTTAGGGCAGAAAAGTCCTCCCTCCCACTCGTACCCAGCTTCTGGCCTAGGAGGGATCCTGTCGTTTGACTTAACACCTTCAACGCGGCTGCGTGATTTCCAGCTGGTTTTTGCTCTGGGTACGCCCATGGCGGGACGCATCTGTTATCGTGGAAATCCTTGCAGATCTTTTTTGACTAAAAGGAACGAATGAAACTGTAGATCCAGAGTCAGGAGTTGCAGTAAAACAAAAGATAGGGGTAGCAGTATTGCCAGACCCTTACCTTGTTACCCTGTTTTTTCACTTAAGGTCCAAAAACAAAGAATCCTAGAATCCAACTTTGAACACACCACTTTTCCTTTCTGAAAAAATTGTACAATCCGTAGCGTGTCAGAACAATACTGCTTTTCCTTTCAATATCACGTTTGTTTTTAATATTTCAGCAGCTTTCAAGGTATTGTAACTTTTTTAAATTATTAATTGCCACTAAAAATCGATATATACGTATACGAACACCACGTAACTACTTTACGAATTGCTACCTAAGGACAAAGTCACTTTTGTAAACAAATTTCAAATTAACCTGCGTACGCGCAATGGTTCAATAGACCTTTAAGAAATTAATTTTAAAAAATGACCTTCAGTTAGTGTCTAAAGTCAAGACTAACCCTGAGTTGCACCATCTTAAAACAATAAAAAAACGTCAAAAGTCTGTCTTACTTTATACACCGGTTAAAGTTACAGTTACGGTTAAAGTTAAGGTGATGCCTTAAATACAAATAAAAGCTATAAATTAATGTAAAAAAGTGTGTAAGAAAAGTAATTAAATATCTCTTTCACACAAAAAGGGGACGCAGGCAGCTACCAACCGGTCATCATGGAAGTCGTTGGGGGAGGCCTATGTTCAGCAGTGGGTGTCCTATGGCTAAAATGATGCTGATGACATCATCAACAGCCCTTTACAGTCCACTGCTGGACTATGAGCCTCCTCCACTATAGTAGAGGGTTTTGCCATAATCCCCACGCTTGGCAGGCGGGTTGGAGATCGCAGTTTAAAAGATTTATGTTTGTCAGAGAGCGCTGCTGCCCGTTCTCTGTTTGATGTGTAGTCCCTAAGTCGCCTCTTACGACACCCGCGGGAAGAGTAGGGGTTGGTGACAAATGTATTCTACTCTGCCGTCACCACACGGCCGCTGATGACTTAAAAAGGGGTAAATGTGAAGGCTCCCCAACCCGTCTGGCCAGCGCGAGGAGTATAGGCCAAATCCTCCATTTGCCTTAGGGTCGTGCTCCTGTAATGAATACTAAATAACAATGATACATAATATTATACTGTTGACGGTGTGCTCAAATGCCTTCTGTGCAAGGGGGTTTGCCGCGAAGATCGGCTACATAAGCCATCTTCGCGCCCAACAGCGCCGCCAAGACAGTTAGGAGTAAGTGGTAGCCTTGGCCGAAATCGGTAGAATGAGTCATCATCATCACTAACTGACCTGATGATGATGATGCTAAAAAAAGATAATCATCTAAGTAAATAACTCTCTACGTGCCTACATGTGAGACTGAAGTAGGTTTTGTAACGTCGGTCTGATAGACCCAGAGACCGACAACCTTAATGATGTAGGTATCCTCAAGCATACAAACGGTTAAAAAATATCACACATACACTCACCGTGTAAGACACAAAACGTCACTGAACAAGCTCCTTGATTTTATCAATGTGTTCGGTTAGTTTTAAAAGTTATTTTTATGTTACTGTTTTGTTTTTGTTCGTCACATCTCACATATTTTTTTCTAAAACTACTTGACTGAGAGGCAGAAATATGTGCATTTGATTTTACTTATAATTATTTTTCAAAAAGTGCCGTTAACCCCTCGCGCAGTGTTTTATGAAGACCATTTTTCGGACATGGCCTTTTTATTTAATAAGCGGCTAGTGAAGGCAATTTAGGGACGTAATATTTTTGTGTCATGTTCGGGTAGTAAAGAGAATTATTTCAGTATAAATAACTTTTCCCAATATGGCGTAATTTTTGAGAAAAAAAAATCGAAAAATCTAAAAACGGGTATAAATATTTTGGGTCTGAGAAAGCTACGAGATTCTTTTAAGCTTTTAAATATATAGAATAAGATAGGTACTCCATCTATGTACAGTCACGGAATGAAAAGGTTCGTCAGTTTTCAAATTGATTCCTTCAACGAATCGCGAGCACATATTACCTTTTGAAACTATGTTACAGAATAATCTCGAGTTAGAGAAAATAATCTTTAACTGTTCGTCAGTAAAGTTCAAAATTATTCAGATCAAAGTTGTTTGACGATTTATCTTGTCAAGAAGATTGTTATGATTGATAAACTAAAACCTTCTTATTGATTCAACCTGCCATTATTATTTCTATTAAATAAAAAAAAACTATTGTCAATTGGTCAATGTCATCATTGCATTGCACTGATGAGATAGAAAAATAAACAAGCAAAACCTTATTCGTTAGCAAACGTCATATTTATTTAAATGTTAGCAGCACTGTTTCTTGCACTGCTATGTTGGCAGGTTTGACTCTTACAGTGCCTAGTGCAAGCGAAAACCGACACTAAGGTGACGAACCTTTTCATTCCGCGACTGTACTTAACATTGTAATTGGTTAACATGCTTAGTTTAACAGAAAACAGTTTTCTAAATATTTCCGGTTTGAAAATAGTCAATTTTCAAGAATTTATTTTGTAAAAACTAGACATGCTAGCTAAATGGGGATTTCGTAGCTATCATTTAAATCGACTTAACTAACCGCTTTTCAATAAAAAAGCCATGTCCAAAAAATGGTCTTCATAATACAGTGTGCCTCGTGGTAAGCTAAATATGCTTATGTTATGAGAAAGTTCACCACAATAGTCCAGGGGCGGGGTTCGAACCCGCGTTCCTTGGATCTTGATTCGGCCAGTCCAACACCTTTGGGCTATTGTCGAATTTAGTTAAGCTGTATGCTTATTTTCAGCTAAGCTAAAGCAGTGCTACTTAGTGACGAAAGATCTAAATTATACAAACTCAAAGGTGACTGACGGACATAGTGATCTATCAACGCACAGCCCAAACCACTGGACGGATCGGGCTGAAATTTGGCATGCAGGTAGATGTTATGATGTAAGCATCCGCTAAGAAAGGATTTTACGAAACTCCACCCCTAAGGGGGTAAAACGGGATCCACGCGTACGAAGTCGCGGGCACCTAGTGAGATTTCGGGATGAGTGTGACTCACTCAGTCAGTGACTTTTCGCTTTTTGATATAAATTTCATGCACTTAGGCCCATTTTTTTGTTTCATAGTTAAAATAACTAATTGTTAAATTTTGCTACTAATGGTTAAATATTAACAAAATGTAAACTAATAGTTAAAAAATTTACTAAAAGTCAAGCTAACCATTGTTCGAAAAACATTTTTTTCTGATATTATAACCACTTGTCATTTGACATCTATCAAATTTGACCATTAGATATTTTAACTACGAATCAAAAAACCGGGCCTTAGTTACTGTTATAAAGATGCAAACAGATTTAGAACAAAGTAACAAAAGATAAAATAAAAATAAAATAAAAAATAAAAAATGTATTTATTGCCTTCGAACCATTAGACAGGTACAGGTAGTTAGACGTACAACTATAATAATATGAAGTAGGTACACCGAAGGCAATTGGACCTGGCTCAGTCTACGTTGTAAGGAGAGATCCTTGCAACACTGGTTTTCAGCCATGCCCAATTATTTTCTTTAGATGTATTAGTGTAAGATATCAAGACCACTAGACATTATTTTTCTGTTACCTACTATCTATTTTGAGTTTTAGTCTCATGTTTTACATTAATTTTAAACTCAATTACCATTTCATTTTGCATGAAAACTTCCGGCTTTTGGCCAGTGTTAACTTTAAAATACAGGTATCTTTATTTTCGCGACATTATTCTAAAGGTTTTGTTTAAAAAACCAAAGCTATCTTCTTTTTAAGTATTATCTAACAGCAGAAAGTATTTCATAAGCTTTTGCCCTGGGCTTCACCTGCGTTAAATTTAGTTTGCCACAGATCGTCATAAATTATAGCTTATTAACCCATTATGTTATTCTTGGTTATAAACAATATCTAATACTGTAAGTAAAATTTCATCAAAATCCATTCAGAAGTTTTTGGTGTGAAAGAGTAACAAACATGTTTTAACATCCAAACAAACTTTCGCACTTTTAATATCCTGATCCTGCATTACTGGACCCCGCAAAACTGGGTTGTTGTATTAACAAGCTCATAATCGCTAAACCGATTTACATTTCGTTAAAGAGGTCATCATCATCATCATCATCATCATCATCTCAGCCATAGGACGTTCACTGCTGAACATAGGCCTCCCCAATGCTTTCCATGCTGCCCGGTTGGAAGCGGCTTGCGTCCAGCGCTTTCCTGCTACCTTTATGATGTCGTCGGTCCACCTTGTAGGTGGACGTCCCACGCTGCGTTTTCCGGTAAGCGGCCTCCACTCCAGAACCTTGCTGCCCCATCGGCCGTCAGTTCTGCGTACTATGTGGACTGCCCATTGCCACTTCAGCTTGATAATCCGTCGGGCTATGTCAGCGACTTTAGTTCGTTTACAGATCTCCTCATTTCTGATTCGATCTCGTAAAGAAACACCGAACATAGCCTTCTCCATAGCACGCATTGCTAGTTTGAGCTTCTGTATAAGGCCTACTATATTAAAGAGGTAGTTTGAGATTATTAAAAACATAGGAATGTAACTGCAGCCGAAAGCGGTTTATTTGGTTCCCGTAGCCGAAAAACCGAGCAAAGTCAGGACAGAAACTAGCCTATTATAAAATTATTTAGGTCTTAAATAATATTATTATCATTCTTACAAGTATTTTTTTAAAACACGTCGTAGATTCAAAAAATATTATGCGCACGATTACCAGCTGATCTTGTATCGGTATGTCAAGGCAACTTTCAATTTCGGCCGATTTCGGCGATCGGCTTTTTTAAAACGTGCATCGGCCATATTTGTACTATATTTTGACAACGAGGTAAAATAAAGACATAAAAAGGATTTTAGAATTGACTTCCCGGCCTTCCCGCCGACTACAGAGTCGGCCGATAGTTGGGCTCGATTCTAATTTGTATGAAGAATCGGCCGATACCAAATCGGCAAAGCTAAGCCTAGGCGCATATCACCGACTTTTCGTTGGCCGATAGTTGGGAAGGCTGTTGATCAGTATGGAGATGTATGAAATGTATGAAATTGCGCACATTACCAGGCCTGGCTCACTCCGCGCGGTACATCCGATAATTACCTACAGCGAAGCGCCCCGCCGGCGGGTATTATATCAGTCGAGTGTCACGCGCGCGCCCGTCAGGACGCTGGCGTGCGTTGTAGTATGATTATAATTCTATGATCGAAGTATTATTTAAAAATGGACATAAAGAGAAAGAAATATTGTGCGGCGTTCGGGTGTTTAAATTCGAAAAGAAATCTACCGGATTTATCTTCTTTTTTTTTCGCTTCCCAAAGATGCTGAAAGGTATGTTGGCCATGTAGGTAATAATCAATAATTCTTAGGATAATATAGGAACCTAACCTACCATGACAACTGTTCAGAATTTGTTCGTTCGTTTCAGCCAAATGACGTCCACTGCTATAAAGGCCTCTCCCAAGGTTTTCCATGATGAATGCATACTTACCTACATACGTACCTCATTACAAATAAGTAGATTAATTATTTTTTTACTAGACAGCAACCCTAACAGCGTAAGAAGAGTTCAGAGGCACGCGATAGAAAGAGACAAAACTTGTAGGTGAATAAAATTGTAGGTACGTAGTGCTGTGCGAGCTGAATTCCACTGTATCGCGTCGTAACAAGACTCGCATTTATTTAAATCGTCTTGCGGAGTAATCCTTCTGTACCTGTACTATTACTTATTCTGTGACATTACACCGATCGGGTCCAACTATCGGCCAACTTAAAATCGGTGGTCTGCACCTAGGCTTAATTTTGGCAAGTATAGACATAGGTAACTCTTACTTAAAACATTAAAAAAATGCCTAATATGTGACAAACAGTTTGTGAAGATTTATGGATGTTTTAATCTTTCACGCAAAAACTACTGGGCGGATTTTGATGAAAACTTCACACTGATAAATTTTAGGCTATAAGAACAGTCCAGATAATCGAATAATATTTCAGTAGACCTCAGACAATTAACTAACGTTGGTGACAGAGTTTATTTCGAAATCTCTTCACGGAGCGAAGTAACTACGTTTACAAAACGAAGCGAGTGAATTCAGAATTAAATTATGCATGCATGTTTTGTATTAGCTGAAATTCAGAAAAGTTAAAATGTTAGATATTAAATGTTGCGTATGTTAATTTACCTTAGAGGCAATATAGCTTTTATGCCTAAATGCTGTTCTGTCGTATAATTTAAAGTGATTTTAATAAAATAAAATAAATAATAATAATAATGAATAGTTGTGTGCAGTTGTGACTGGTTCATAGATTTGTAGGTGATTTGTAGCTGTATTTTTCTTAAGTGGTATTCTATGTACTGTAACTGTACTTATTAATAAATAAATAAATAAAATAAAATACCTGCCTTGCCTTGCATAAAAAAATGTTTCGGCTAAAAATTTCGGCCAAAAAAAATCCGTAAACACTGCAGGGCATCACTTTAACAAAATGGCCAGAACCGACCACACAAGCCAGTCGTTTTTGAACTCCAGTTGCAGTCGCATGCCATGGTGAATAAATAGATTTACGAAGAAAAAAGGGGTAAGTTCATTTTTTGATTATGCACTTAGTATTACTAAGCAGTTCATTGAATTAATTTGAGTAAAAGAATCATTTTCTACGGCATAGTGCGTAAATGAGTGCCTATTTTTTTTTAGTAAAATAGGGTAGTTACGTCTGATTTTTTCGTACAGAAAAGCCTTTTTTAGAATTTCAGGGAAATTCATATTTTTTAGGCTTTTCTTTAGGAATGATGAATGAAAAGTTGAAAAAAATTATTGTTTTAAAAAAAAAAATTGATTAAATTATGATAATTAGATTTTTTCTTGCGACAGACAATGAGCTATTTTTTATTGAAATTTTATTTTAATATGCTTTGAAAGCGTATTAATAATACTAGTTTTAATAAGTGTAGACTATAAACCTATAAACATCCTATGAACAATCGATAAATGAAGATTTATGTCAGACTGATAACCTATTCTTGGATCTGTAAGAAAAAATCGATAATCAAAGTCTAGCACATTTTTTTCTAATTCCTAAATGTTATGTTTTGTTCCTTGATCATTTTCTCCTTTCCTTGAGGATTTTTTAAAAGAGGGTAGTTTTAGAAAATTTTCGTAACGGTTAAAGTGAATTTGGTAAAGTTATCATTAGCTGTAATTTGATGTTTATTCACATTAATTTAAAAACTATTATCTACATAATTAGGGAATAATCGCATGACTTATGCTATGATATATGATTATAAATAAATGTTCTATAATAAAAAACTTTTACTCATATTTTATATTAAACTAGCTATGATTATACTAGGTACTTACTTAACATTTAAATAAAATTGTGACGACATCGTAAAGGTAGCAGGAAGGCGCTGGACGCAGGCAAACCGGGCAGCATGGAAAGCATCGGAGGCCTATGTTCAGCAGCGGACGTCCGATGGCTGAGATGATGATGATGAAACTTTACAATATCTATACTTATAATAAATCTGTAGAGAGGTCAATTCTGTACATGAAATATATTTTCAAAATAACTATCAGGGGGTGATTAGTGATCGATACTGATGCCAAAAATGCAATCAGTAAAATTTTTGTCTGTCTGTCTGTCTGTCTGTCTGTCTGTCTGTCTGTCTGTCTGTATGTTCCTTATAGAAACAGAAACTACTTGACGGATTTTAACGAAACTTGGTACAATTATTCTTCGTACTCCTGGGCAGGTTATAGGATACTTAGGAATTCCCACGGGCACGGGAATTAGCGGGAAAATCCTTTTGTATGAAAAATCTAAACTGCTTAAGTTAGACGCTTGAAATTTGGCATGCAGGTACCTTAGTAAACTTAAAGCTTAGTTACAACAGGATATTACAAAATTCCCACAGGAACGGGAGTTAGCGGGAAAAAACATTTGTATAAAAAATCTAAACCGCTTAAGTTAGACGCTTGAAATTTGGCATGCAGGTACCTTAGTAAACTCAAAGCTTAGTTACAACAGGATATTGCAAAATTCTCACGGGAACGGGAGTTAGCGGGAAAAAACATTTGTATCAAAAAATCTAAACCGCGTAAGATAGATGAAGGGGGTAAAACGGGATCCACGCGTACGAAGTCGCGGGCGGCCGCTAGTTTTAAAATAAAACCATATGAAATAAAACGTTTGATTCAGGTTCTGCTTTGGGGGAAGGTGCACAGAAGGCTAGCCACATTGTCAAGAATAACCAGGCTCATTCTTTGGCCTGCCTTCGGATCAGGAGTTCCAGCATTCAACTGTGAGTTTTGATCAATATTGTAGTGTAATTTCGTTGCGGGTCCAATGACAGTTTAACTTTCCCCCGGGATAAACTTGACCTTCATTGGTTGGGTTTTTATGGCGGTCGAGCTGTAGATCCTGGCTACACAGGAGTTGCAGCGGTGGAAACGAGAGGTGGGAATAGTACCGTTAATATTGTGGTGTTTCAAGGTATGGGTGGGTAATACTACCCAACGTTGATGAAACAAATGCTTGAACAAATACGGCCGCAACAACGTATTACACTTGAAAATTTCAACTGGTTCATTCAGTGTCTAAGTAGCTCAGATGGAAGAGCAGTCGCCCGGCAAGCGAAAGGTCGTAGCTTCGATTCCCACCTTAGGCAGTTTTTTCAAGTTATTTATAAAGGTACCTTCAACAATAATAATGACAAAAAGTATTGAGCGGGCTTTATCTACACACCTTGCCTACCTTATGGCCTGCATTCACCTCTTCTTCTTGTCGTGTCGACAACAAACCTACACAGCGTCGGCCCAAAACTCCGCCACAAGAATGGCGTTGTCAGTAGCCTTCATTAAATCTTCCTGCGTGCAGTTGTTTGGGCACGCAGGGCACGACATCGTGTGCTTCGTCGACTGGGGAACAAAACCACACCTGCACTCCAAGTTTGCATTCACCTGATGGAAAGTGATGATCAGCAAACGAACTTCGCCCTGAGATCTGAGAAGATAGTTATTATTAATTATGTATTTTCGGAAGTCTCTCACGTCATCGATTGTAATTTAATAACATTTTATTTATTAAATACAATGTTATTAAACTTCACATTGTTAATTTGAAATTCAAGGACTTGCTTACATGCACACAAAATGGAAAACATGATCAATGTATGTACCTACATCTTCTATACTTAAAATATTATATTATTTTTGGGCTGGAAGACGTAGCGTGGGCAGGCCTCCTACTAGGTGGACCGACGATCTGGTAAAGGTCGCGGGAAGAGCCTGGATGCGGGCAGCGCAGGACCGTGCATTGTGGAAAACCTTGGAGGAGGCCTTTGTCCAGCCGTGGACGTCATTTGGCTGAAACGAACGAACGAACGAACGATTATATTATTTTTATTACTTACCAGCGGCCGCCCGCGTCTTCGTACGCGTGGATCCCGTTTTACCCCCTTAGAGGTGAAGTTTCGTAAAATCCTTTCTTAGCGGATGCCTATTGCCTACATCATACATCTACCTGCATGCCAAATTTCAGCCCGATCCGTCCAGTGGTTTGGGCTGTGCGTTGATAGATTACTATGTCAGTCAGTCAGTCACCTTTGAGCTGAAGAGTTTCCCATACTGAAACTGTCAATGTGCCAGTTATACCAGCAGTTATTCCCGGAAAAAGTTTGGTCGAATCGGGCCTTAACATTTTTTTTCTGTTGTATAGCCCAATTTTTTTTCCCGTTTTCGCAACATTTTTCATTGACGCTCTGCTCCTAATAATCGTAGCCTGATGGTATGACAACCTATAGCCTTCCTCGGTAAATGGACTATCTAAAACAAAAAGATTTTTTCAAATTGGAGCAGTAGTTCCTGAGATTAGCGCGTTCAACCAAACAATATATGAGTATAATTATAATTACAATTAATGAAAATATTATGTAGAATAGAATAGAATAGAATAATTGTTTATTTGCAATGGTCTGTCTTTGTTTATATAATAATAATAATATTTTAATAACTAAATAATAATGTAATTGTATAATTTAATAGTATTTATTTTTCTAATTTTAATGTTTATTTGATTTTATAATTTTAATGTTTATTTAATTTTATTTGTTTATTTAAGTTTGACAAATAATTTTCTATTTTATTTAATGTTATTTTTAAGTTTTTGCAACGCCTTCACTGGGCGTCACATGTTCAATATTATGTTCCTGTCAACCCTTACCCATGTGACATGCAATAAATAATTTGAATTTGAATTTGAATAATAGTCACTTTCTAATGATATTTGCGCCTTTTGGTGTCGAGACCTTCGGACCTTGGGGACCGAATGCTAAATTACTGTTTAGGACCATTTCCCCTAAATTAATTAAAATTTCGGAAAATCTAAATGCTGGCTCTTTCCTTGCACAAAGGCTTAGTATTGCCATTCAGCGAGGAAATGCAGCCAGCATCCTTGCCTCTTTGCCTCACGGACACACTTTTATTTTTGAGTAAAATAAGTTTATACATATTTTTATTTTGTTTAAACAAACTCTTCAGCTTTATAATATTAGAATAGAAACATAGGTTTAGATGAAGATGTAGGTACCTAATGAATACAGTGTAATTCAATTTATTACTATTTACAGGATATAATTATGTATATTTAAATATTATAGTATTTAAACACCTATTTATGTAAATTGTGCATTGATACATCTGTCGCTGATGGACGTTTTGGGTAAAACTGTATAAATAAATAAATATATTCATTGACAGTCTTATGACGTACTTTATCTACAAATTAGATATATTAATCTTGAATATAATTTTTCCAATAGGTATGCGAGACATTCTATGGTTTTTCTGTCTATGAAACATCATTTGAATTAGTTTTTTGTAATGTACAGAGATCAAGGACATAACTGTAGATAATAGGAGTATTTTGTTCAATGAGACGTGTTTTTACTCAACTAGGCAACAGTTAACTGTGTCATCGGAATCTTTTAATCGATCTATTGTTCTTTTAATTAATCGATTTATGATAATAACATACTCGTAAATGCAATTAATTAATGCAATATACCTTCTGACAGCTTTTGCTGGTACATTATACACTGGGCAGCAAAGAAAAAGGATCCTTTAGAAAATCTTTAATATCTTAAAAAGTATCTGAGCTAGCTTTACGAAATAAGACTAAATTAATTTAAGGTATATTTTTAATTTTAAAATAAATAACAATGCCAGTTTTTCCAGTATGTTTTGTTTCATAAAGCTAGGTCAGGTACGTACTTTTGAAGATAGCAGATTTTTATGTCCGATCCTTTTTTTGAGTCTTCCAGCGACTTGGCCCTCTTTAACTTGGTCCACAGGCCAAGTCGTCTGTTTGAGTTTTTAGATATTTTTTCCGGCAACTGGGCCCTCCTTCAATGTTTTATTAATAAATTACACACCAAGTCAAATAAATCTACTTTAGAATCTTGAGTGAGCCCAGCTGCAGAAAGAAAAAATATTAGTTATTCAAAATTAATGTGAGTCATTTCTACTACTATTTAAGTATCTTAATCTGTAAGTCTAGATATTAGCACGTTACTACCTTGTTTAATATACCACGCAATTTTGTATACCCATTCTTATAAGATACACCATACAAGAATGCGTGGTAAATTCAGTGAACTTCTCCTGAATCAAATGTACCTACTACTGCTTTTTCTATTTATTTATATTAACCGGCAGACAGTGGTGACTGAGTTTGTTGCGGCGCTTCTTCTCAGCACTTGCCAAATGTTGGTCTCGAAGCGCTGGTAGGGTAAAAAGATTATGAGACATGTAGAGGCTCCTTAAAAGCAAAATATTTGACGATTTGTAAGAACTATTTAATAGTCTATACAAATAAAGAAATTTTGACTTTGACTTTGACTATTTAAAATTCAATCCGGCGACTTGGCCTTCTTTTAGCTTGGTTAGCGGTCGAGTGTATTATTTTAACCAATATTTTCTTCAACAGAAACATGGCTCAGCTGGCTCACTACAGGATCATTGGGTACGCAGTCACCCTGGTCCTCCATATTGGGAACACTATAGTCATCAAAACTGCGCTGAAGAGCCGCTCCGATGACCCTGAGATCAGGACCTTGGCGTTTTTGGAAGACTGCTTTTACACCATTTGGAACGTTGTAAGTTTATTTTCGAAATCAAAAATGATGAGATCCTAAAGTCGCTGATATATCCCGACGGATTAGCTAGCTGAAGTGGCAATGAGCAGGGCACATAGTACGCAGAACTGACGGCCGATGGGGCAGCAAAGTTCTGGATTTGATGCTACGTACCAGGATGGGCAGCGTGGGACGTCCACCCACAAGGTGGATCGACGCCCTCATAAGTTAGCAGAAAAGCGCTGGATGCAGGCCACAGATTGATAAACCGGAGGCAGCATCTGATTTACCATCAGGTATCATCATCATCATCACATTTTCAGCCATAGGACGTCCACTGCTGGACAAAGGCCTCCCCCAAGGATTTCCACAAAGACCGGTCCTGCGCTGCCCGCATCCAGGTACTTCCCGCTACCTTCACCAGATCGTCGGTCCACCTAGTGGGAGGCCCACGCCTAGGCATGACGAGTGGGGAAGCCTTAAACTTTTTACCCTATATTTTAAATCAAATAATATTTAGATTTGGTTCTGCCCCTTAATGCTGACAAAGGTGACTGTGTTTCTTCCGCCGCTTCTTCTCAGCACCAGCCCATAATGTTGTCCCGAAGTGGTGGTAGGGCAAGCTATATTTGGGACGTGTATAAGCGCCGTGGAAAGGGTATTATGTACTGAATAAACTAATTTGAATTTTCTCATGTGTTTTCAGGTGTTTCAAGTCATGTACGCAGCTTTTGGTATTTACTGTGACCTGAAGAGTTTGAAGGATGATGCTGACCATGGAAAACTGACAAAATATATGAAATATAGACAATACGTGTTTGGAGCTCTTTTATGCCCTTCATCAATGGTAAGTTTCATCATTATAACTTAAAACAAAGTAACTAAGAAAATAAATTAATAACAAAATTAATATTACATAGGTACACTTGCGTTCTTGCAAGGATTCTGAACCTAACCTTATAATGATGATGTAACTTTATAATGATAGTTTAAGTTAAAATATAGTACATCATAACTAGGGAGGGGAGTGTAGAATCCTCCACTAACTTCTAGTAAATTAGATCGTGCTCTATACAGGAGTATTCACTCTCAATCCCTAATGTTTAAGTGACCCCTAATGGTATTACATAACAGGATTTTTTTCATAAGGAGTCAATTAAAAATTAGGAATTGATGGTGAAAACGAGCATAAGGGCCCTTTTCCTCCACGGTAATTCAGTTTTGCATGGTCCAGTAATACAGGATCCGCAAAACTTGACTGGTCGTGTGAACACACAGGTCAGTGTTGGAAACTCGAATGAATCGTATGGGATATCTGTTAATGTTAGTACCATTAAAAAATAATAAACTAAATGGGATCCCGCAAACAACGGGATGCCGCCATTGGAACAAATGTCATTGTAATAATAAGTTTCGAAGACAAATAGGTACATTTGTTTTTTTTTTTATTCCAGTTCATTGTCAACATATTCTGGCCAATATTCCTCTACGATCGGAACCTGATCTACCCCGAGTACATAGACCGAGCCTTCCCTGACGAAAGCAACTACATCATGCATATAGCCATACTGCCTGTAGTACTTTGGGAGTTAATCTTTTTACCAAGGAAGATTCCTATCTCACATAGGAAGTATATAGTGTTCTTCAGCATGGTATATGTAGCTTATTTGTTGAGGTAAGTGTTTTAATTTGTTAGATAACTTTTCCAAGGACAATAATAACTAGCTGTGCACGCAACTTGTTTGAATAATATTTCCCGTTTTTGCAACATTTTTCTTTAAAGCTCCGCCCCTATTGGCTGTAGGGTGATGTTAAATAGCCTAAAGCCTTCCTCGGTAAATGGGCTATCAACACAAAAATAATTTTTCAAATCGAACTAGTATGTAGTTCCTGAGATTAGCGAGTTTCGACTGGCTACCCATGTCGTTAGAGCTGTCGACAGCATAGAAAGCATGGAAAAAACATATTTTATAAACACAGAATGCTTGTTTGCATAAATTTTAACATTAACCATTATTACTTACTAGCTGTTGCCCGCGGCTTCACCCGCGTGAAATTCAGTTTGTCACAGATCGTCGTAAATTATAGCCTATGTTATTCTGGGTTATAAACAATACCTAATACTGTAAAGTTTCATCAAAATCCGGTCAGTAGTTTTTGCGTGAAACAGTAACAAACATCCAGACATCCAGACATCCAAACTTTCACATTTATAATATTAGTAAGATAAGTAGGGATTGGTTGTCTGCATTTTATTTTACTACTTTTTTTCATTCCAGGATATTCCACGTGAACGCAAACCATGGACTATGGCCTTATCCAATTCTGGAGAAGATTCAAGGTACAATATTCTTCCCCATTTTATTCATTTTGGCATACTTAATGTTATACGGACATTACTACCTACAGTGGAAAATCACCAGGTTCATATGGGGATATGTAGATATTATGAAGTCTTCATAGAATAGTTTTATAGTTATAATAAACTATTAATAATATATTAAATAAACATTATAGTAATAAACATAATTTAAGTAGGTAATATAATATACTTAGTTACATGGTCACTTTTTTCTGACACTAGTTAGTTATATTATGTTTTACTATCGCTCTTTCTAGAATCTTAATATTATTATGATAGAGAGAGACGAATAGATAAAAAATACGTTACTACAACGTAACCCCCTGATTTTAGTCAAGGGGTTTTTTGTAACATTTACTACAATACAAAACAGTAGGTGTATTTTTTACAAGAATAATTTATGCTGAATGTAGTAATTTTAATATGAACATCACAAACTTGACTGCTTTTATTTTTTTATATATTTTTCAACTATTATTGTTACATGTATGTTAACGTATAAAAATACTTTTTTTAATGTAGTTATTCTTGTGCTGTTTATATTGTACTATGTTTGATTATGAATGTTTATCATTAAATTAGGTTAAGCTTTTTGCAAAAGAAATGGGGCACTTAGTTCAACCTTTCTCATGACTGGTAAGTCCTTCGTGAGTTTTCACCTAGAACAAAAATTGCCTTGGGACAAATCTATATGCAGGTTTTTCCTCGACCTGTATTTATTTTCTTTTTTTTTCTTCCTTTTTCCTTTCTTTTTCCGTCATGACTGACATCAGGTGGCTAAGATAGATTCCTGCCTCAGTGCTACAAAATGGCGCTGAAAGTTTTTGGAAACACTATTGTTATAATGATTTATTATGTGATTTGGTCCCAATATTTCTATCGTTGTTATAAAACAAAAAAATATAGACAATAACTTCAAAAGTTTACTTTATTTATATTTTTTTGTTAATAAATCTGTTATTGTCTAAAATTTTTTTTGTCTTATATATAATATCAGACTTTGTAACAATGTGTGGTGTGTACCAAAAAAATTTGTGTATCAAACAAATCGTGTGGTTGGTACTAAAAAAACTTCTAGTGAGACTCTGAAAGAAGACTAACTTTTTATTGCATCATTGTAAACTTTTGTAAGGATACATAGTAAGTATCCTAAGTATCCTAGCATAGTATGCTTGTGATATCCAAAAATCAATGAATATATTCATGGCATGATAGGCCATAATCTGAGATCTATAGATCTAGTATAATGCCTTAGTCGCCTCTTACTACCCTCAGGTGGGGTATTGCTATTCTAGAAGCCACGTGGTCTGGTACTACAGCTAGTATTTCAATATTTTTCTGCCGCTGTCGTTCACAATCCTTCCGAAACCTGCTCAATTCTTTCTCCAGTTCAGCGAGTTTCACGTCAGTCCCCGGTGTGCGCATGTCATGAGTTGCCAAGGCCAAAAGTCGTCAGGGTTGGTACTTGGTACCCTGGGGATCCTTGGCTCCCCGGGGATTCTTGGCATCCCCTGCCTTACTATTATCGTGACAGCGTAGTACGGGATAGAGGGGCTGACGGTGACTACAGGCCATGTTTTGGTTTTATTCCATCAAGGGGGGTTTTATCTTAATCACCACGATTGGAAGACGAGTTCCCGATCATAGTGTGATGGCATTACCACCTATCAAGGCGATAGGTTTTTGTCCATAATCTGCGATCTCAATGCCTCTGTCGCCTCTTACGAAACACTCAGGAAGAGATAGGGTTTTGCTACTCCAGCACCACAGCTGGATTAGCGTTTGAATGTTTTTCAGTCGCTATCGTTCACAGTTCTTCCGAAACCGTTCGTTTCGTTTCGTTCGTTCGTTTAGGAGAAACTTGAAAGATAATTTTATCTATAGGTTTTTTTTTTTTAATAAATCTTTGGACAATTTCACACAGCGCCAGCTAGCCCCAAAGTAAGCAACTTAATGCTTGTGTTATGGGTGCTAGCTTAACGGATATACTACTTATATACTTTTTTTTTTAAATACATAAATATTATACATAGTCACACCCAGACCCGTCACAGAAATTAAAATTCATCATTTCAATTTCTGCCCGGCCGGGAATCGAACTCGGGACCTCTCGGCATAGTAGTCCGTTCTGAACCACTACACCAAACGGTTTATGTAGTATGTATATTATGCAGTATGATGCATGGCGGTAGGCTGTTCTCCATAATCTGATATATATAGATGCCTTTGTCGCCTCTCACGACACCCTGGAAAAGATAGGGTTTTGCTACTCCAGCACCACAGCTGGATTGATTGCGTTTGAATATTTTTCTACCGCTGTCGTTCAGTTCTTCCGAAACCTGCTCCATTCTTGCATTTCCTTAGATTTACCTCCAGTTCAGTGAGTTTCACGTCAGTCACCAATGTGCGCATGTTATAAGTTGGCAAGGCCAAAAGTCGTCAGGGTCGGTTAAAAAGTTGAACGACCCACATACTACTCAGTTCTACTCGCTACCAAAAAAAAGCGTACCACTTTTTTTCCCGCTAACTAGTGGTACGCTTTTTCCCGCTAACTCCCGTTCCCGTCGGAATTTTGCAATATCCTGTTGTAACTAAGCTTTAAGTTTACTAAGGTACTTGCATGCCAAATTTCAAGCGTCTAACTTAAGCGGTTTAGATTTTTCATACAAAAGGATTTTCCCGCTAATTCCCATTCCCGTGGGAATTTCGGAGAAATTCCCTTTCTTAGTGCACCTCTACGGTACCTAAGCTACGTCCCTTCCAAATTTCAAGTGCCTACGTTTAACCGTTTAGGCTGTACGTTGATATGTCAGTCAGTCAGTCAGTTTCTCCTTTTACATTATTTAGATTTACAATGGCATACTTTTAAACTAGCAGAATTTCTTTTGGCAAAATTTCATTCTGAATAATATCGATTAGCATAACGTTTAATTAGTAGCACGATTATTTGGTACCATTCCACTTGGCATACTATGCAGATGGCAGAATTTAGTTTGAAATATTTAAAATATTCTGCATAATATCGATTAGAATAACTTTTATTTAGTACCACGATTATTTGGTACCATTCCACTTGGCATACTATGCAGATGGCAGAATTTCTGCAATATTGAAAATATTCTGCATAATATCGATTGCATGACGTTTATTTAGTATATCCTGTCCAGGAATGTTGCGGAAAACTAATTGTACTAAGTGTACTGTAACTGAAAACATCATTGATAGAAAGAAAGATACATTTATTACAATGGACATCACACAAATACAGGCAATTACATAGACTCATGACAGTGGCACATAATAATGGAAGAAGAAAAAAATAAATAAAAACAAGAGAGTAAACTGAGCAGTGCCACCCATTCACCAACAAGATGCCCACTGCAACGGGACCCCACTTTAATATACCTATGCAGAATGAAATTTTTCCAAAAGAAATTCTGCTATTTTAAAAGTATGCCATTGTAAATTCGGACATAAACATTCTATCAAACCACTTTCAAACAAAAAGCCTTTTTAAAAACGTTCCAGGTACATTGGAACATTATTTTTATTTTATTCAGTCCAAAACGAATTAAAACCATACGATCCAAATGGAATGTCACTTTTTTAGGGTTCCGTAGCCAAAATGGCAAAAACGGAACCCTTATAGTTTCGTCATGTCCGTCTGTCCGTCTGTCCGTCTGTCCGTCTGTCCGTCTGTCCGTCTGTCCGTCTGTCACAGCCGATTTACTCGGAAACTATAAGTACTACAGTGATGAAATTTGATGGGAATATGTGTTGTATGAACCGCTACAAAATTATGACACTAAATAGTAAAAAAAAGAATTGGGGGTGGGGCCCCCCATACATGTAACTGAGGGATGAAAATTTTTTTTCGATGTACATACCCGTGTGGGGTATCAATGGAAAGGTCTTTTAAAATGATATAAAGTTTTCTAAAAAACATTTTTCTTAAAGTGAACGGTTTTTGAGATATCAGCTCTCAAAGTCGTAAAAAGTATGTCCCCCCCCCTCTATTTTTATAACTACGGGGTATAAAATTCTAAAAAAAATAGAGGTGATGCATGCTAATTAACTCTTTCAACGATTTTTGGTTTGATCAAAGTATCTCTTATAGTTTTTGAGATAGGTTGATTAAATTGACATAATAAGTTTATTATATTTGCTGCTACGGAACCCTTTGTGCGCGAGCCCGACTCGCACTTGGCCGGTTTTTTTAACATTTAAAATTAGTTATTTGTAAAACGTTCCAAAATGATTGGATCATTATTTTCATTGTATTCAGTCCAAAACGAATCAAAACATAACGTTCCAAATGGAATGTCACATTATAAGATTTTATTTAGATCTTTTGGATCGTTTTATCATTGGGACCGCTTAATTATTTCATTAATTAGTGTCGTAAGAGAGTCAGTGTCTTCAGCACTAGATAGGGTGACCCAAAATACCTAGCTTGGGCTCGAAAACTCAATTTTGACCACCTTGTGGGTTGGAACGTTGTAGCATAACTACGTCCAGTTCTTCCTAAACGTTCGATTCGTTTTGTTCGTTCGTTTAGGACAAACAATGAGTTTATCGCTATGTACTAAAGGCAAACTTGAAAAACAATTTTATCTACAGGTTTATGTAGTATGTATATGCAGTATGACGCATGGCGGTAGGCTGTTCTTCATAATCTGATAATAGATAGATGCCTTTGTCGCCTCCCACGACACCTTGGAAAAGATAGGGTTTTGCTACTCCAGCACCACAGCTGGATTGATTGCGTTTGAATATTTTTCTGCCGCTGTCGTTCAGTTCTCCGAAACCTGCTCCATTTTTTCGTTTCCTTAGATGTGCCTCCAGTTCAGTGAGTTTCACGTCAGTCAACAATGTGCGCATGTTATAAGTTGCCAAGGCCAACGATCATCGGGGTTGATACCCTGGCATCTGCCAATGATTCTTCGCACCCTTACCGTTACCGTGACTGAGTAGTCCAGGATAGTAGGGCTGCCGGGGACTACATGTCGTTTTTTGGATTTCATTCCCTTGAGGGGTTTTTACCTTAATCGGCATGCTTGGAAGGCGAGTCGGCGATCGCAATAAATGACATGAATCCAATATAAAATATCCTCTTGAATCGGATGCCTTAGTCGCCTCTTACGAAACCCTCAGGAAGAGATGGGGCATTACTATTCTAGGACAGCAGTCAGGTTGCCTGGTCTAGTTCTACTGCTAGTATGTTTGTGTTTTAATATTTTTCTGCCGCTATCGTTCACAATCCTTCCGAAACCTGCTCAATTCTTTTTCTCGGGGTAACTGTTACCTTAAATATTTGCCACGCTTGTTTATGTGTAGTTGTAATTTTTTACCACTGGTTTTTCGTTTAGGACCAACAATGAATTTCTTGCTATGCAAACTTGGAAGATAATTTTAACTATACACAGTGTTTTACGCAGTATGGAAGGGTTAGCAGAAAATAAATAATGTATAATAAAATAATACAATCTGAATCCATTTCGGAAAAACTTACAGCACTCGATCTATACGTAGAGGTTTTCGGCACAGGTTCCTTTGATAGGCTTATGACTTCATAAGGAGTTTCACTAAGTTTCTTCTAGAAACAGCGCACGTACCTACCTAAAATTAAATAAATATATTGAGCGATAGTTTTATGTAGTATGTATGATGCGGTAGGATCATGCCTATCATAATCCTCCGGTGTCGGGATCCCTTTGTCGCCTCTTATGACACCCTTAGGAAGATATGGGGCGTTGCTATTCTAGGACCACAAGATAGATTACCTGTTTTTTTATTTGTAATATTTTTGGGTTCGTTCATAGTTCTTCCAAAACCTGATCAATTCTTCCTCTAGTTCGGCGAGTTTCACATCGGTTTTAAGTTGATAAGGACAAAGTGTGGTGCTATTCTAGGACCACAAGATAGGTTATCTTGGAGGATAATAATAACACGGTTTGGCGATCGCAGTATATCATGATATCAAATGGGATGCTGTTGTCGGTCCTCTGAGATCTGAAGTCAATAGTATGGTATTTGGCAACACACAAACACTATTAAAAAGGTATACCTTGCCAACGTTTCAACTCGGTTGCACGAGTCATCTCTGGGATCTGTATCCCTCTGTCGCGTCTTACGACATTCTCGGGAAGAGATAGGGTAGTACTATTCTAGGACCTTGTGTGTGTGTATTGTTACAGGTTATATTAATAAATGGATGCTGGCAGCGCAGCCCTGTCGATGTAGAATCCTTTTCTTTGGAAGCCCGGTGTCCAGTAGTGAAGCTAAGAACGTCACATTTTTGCCAGTTAATTATGTAATTTGGTTTCAATATTTCTTTCTTTCGTGAAAAACAAAAGAAATTAGACAATAACAGGTTTATTAACAAAAATTTATATAGCATAAAAAAAAATATTTTTAAGAGTTGCTACTCGGCTGTGGGGACTTCCACATTTATTTATTCCTTTTGTGCGATTTTCCTTTCTTTTTTCGTCACGCCTCTGAGCTGTCTTCAGGTGGCTGAGATAGGCAACGCTTGGTAGAAGTTTTTCGCATTTCCTACCAAAAAAATTAGATAAGAATCGTTAACCTTGTTCCTGAACCAAATGGCACTCCAAAGTTTTGTAATGGTTCTTTGTAAAACATTTATATAATTTAGCTCCAATTGTCTTTGTATTTCTTTAAAAATATTTATCTATTGTTATACTTTTTCTGGGATCGGACGATTTCTTTCTCCATTATCGTTTACTTAATGTTAAAGGTGTATAAAAATGGGGTGTGTACAAATAAAACACGTCTCCTTGCAAGTGATTCGAGAATAATAATAAAAACAATAACATTTATTTACTATTGGTTATCAAACTCCACGTTAACTATACTTAGGTACAAGGTTTTGTATTGTGTTCATAAATCAACAAAGCTTATGCATAGAACGATCGAAGGTTGCCAAATCCAGGATTTATATATTTGAGAACCAAAATGTATAATAAAATCAAAGATAAAAAGGTTTGTCTGCATTACAATACAACTTTCGATCGACCCACACACATAAATATGTATGTTCTCATATATTGAATTTCTTTACATATATATTATGTTTTATATTTGTTCATCTTCACAATATGTTCAGGTAATGTGTAAAAATACTTAATACTTTTCAATAACAAATCAATATCATTATAATATAAATCATCTTATAGAAAAACAATATACAAAAATTGTTTTTTATTATATTTCACTATGTTTTAAGTAAGATACCCGTAAATCCGGCATCGTAAAAAATAGAAGCTCTTCTCAAATCATTTTTTTAATAAAAAAAACGATAGATTGCTAAAGAAAACAATTTGTACAAGTAATCTACAACACACAAACTTTCATTTTTTACCGATTATTCCCGTGTTTATCACTCTTGCACTTCCAAAATACATTTTTATTTAATTTTTAATATACTAAACGTTACGTGTCCAAATCTATATTTAAATTTTAGTGAAAATTTAGCAAAACATAGTACAAAAGTTTAGAAATACCTACAAATACTACCCAGCGTTAAAACGTACCCTATTTCTATCTCTATCGTACTATACTCTTCGTACGCGTGCGAAAGGGACAAAATACGCATCTTGTTATTCACTCTCCATACTTCTGCACCAATAGAAGTCTACATATTAAAATTCTCTAATAGAATGGACACGGCTTTTTAAACAAATGAAGTCAGCACTGCTTTAGTTTCATTTATTTAGGGCAGGCCTCGAGTTTTTCTTAGATGTTACATTTATTTTCATATTCATCTGGAATTGAATGAAACAAAAGACATACATTACGTTTTAACTGTTCGTTGATATTTTCAGAGAAACAGGGTAAAGAAAATAAATAGTGGTTTTCATGGAAATTACTTTTTATCATTCACTCGAGGCATTAATTTAGTAATTTTGGATATTCAGCCGAATTTCAGTCTTAGTGCTCTAAACGTTATTGTTTTAAATTAATACCCAATGGGAAATGCCCAAATCTTAACTCTATTAGAAAAAAACTAAGTATAACTTAAATATAAGTTACACAAATAAAAGTCTTTAAAATTATGTAAAACCAGATTATTTCCAAAGACACAAAAGTGATTTCAGATTCGATTTCTGAATCTTTACTTTAGGTACATAAAAGTTTTGTATCTTCACTTTCCTTACAAATATCATAAATACAATAGCGTTAATGTATTTTTGAAATGTTGAAGTGAGAGATAATATTATTCAAATTATGACAAATTCTTCTTTTGAGAAAATTAGAATTTAAAATAATTTATAAGCTTTTTAAATAAAGTTTAAAACTGGTAGCTGAGTTAGGCATCGCCCATCCAAATTCGAATGATTCTATTTTACTAAAACGTGCGCCTAAATTTTATTATAATTATTTAAAAAAATGCATGTATGCATATTTTCTGAACAATTTTGTGTTTAATTCTTTAAATCACTTGTTAATATGTTTAATTCTTTTCGAAAATATTAACAGTAGTCAAAACAAATGAGAAATATAGTTTATGATATTATATTTTAAAATAATATTTTGAACCACCCGTATATTTTTATCTCTATTATGTTTCTCACTATTTATGACTGATTAATCCTATGTTAATATAATTTCATGTAAAATAATAGTGCAATCTATTATATAACGCAAAATAAGGTAAAAAAAAGCGATCAAAGAAAAAATAAAACAAAAAAATTATAGACAATAACAGATTTATTAACAAAAAATTATAAATATATATAATATATATAAAGGAAACTATATATCTCACTCGACAATACAAGAATAGAGATTCTTGTATTGGCCAGTGCTAAATATAGTTTCCATAAAAAGAATGTAAAATTAAAAATAACCCATTAAACCTTATAATAATATTTAATATAAAATACATATGATTAATAGCTATTTACAAATACGAGTTAAGATTTATACTTTTTAACATTAAATATAAACCAGTCTATATGTAAAAGGCTATTTGACAAAACTTAGCGTAGTGTTAGAAAAATGATGGTTATTAATATTTCTAATTAATAAGCAGGCAATTTCTAATAAAAACTAACAAAAAAATATAAAAAAATAACTAAAAATACATTTATTCGTGGTACGTACAAAATAAGACGCGTTAAGCTGTTATAAGGTATATTACGTATACTGTTTTGTTTTATAGAAATAAAAAAATACAACAATGCAATTATTATGCTTTTAGTCTTGTGTTTTCTCATATTATGCAAAAAATGTGAGATATCATCCAAAAATGGCACCCAAGCGAAGAAATGTGCAAAAAATGAGATCAATTTACATTTCTATAAAAAGTAAATAAAATTGCCTGCTTTCAGTACAACGAAATTTGTCCGTAATGTTATTTATTTTTAAAATGTCCATGAAAATTCTGGAAGATTTAAACTCAAATGTGAATTTGACTATAAAACTCAATCTCTTTCACAGCCCAGGGATATGATAAGAATAGATTGTTTTATTAGAGTCGTGTTACCTGAAATTGGCAGTTTAACTGCTAAAGAACCAAAACCAATAACAAATCAATCCGGGAGTACTAGAGTCGGACTGATAGTGTTATTGATTTGTGTCTCAAGCCAAATTCACATTTAAGTTTAAAAATACCTCACAGAATTTGTCTTAATGATGATTTTACGACTAAATTTTGTTCTGCATTCTTCTTCAAATGGCTGACTTAGCGAACCGCGAAAACGGTTCGCAATTCATTAAATTGATTTTGAACTAAAAATCGTTTATATTAATATAAAAAAACAAAAAGCTAACGAAATACATAAATGGGCAGTATCGTTTACTCTTAATTTACAACTTATACAAAATCTACATTGAAAAGGAAAAAAACATCAATAATATAATCATTTGAAATAAATAACAAGTTACAATTCTCTTTTTAAAAAAACTGTTAAAAATAAAGACTTATTATAACGAATCGCTTAAAACAAAGTGTGATATTACCTCGCTACAATCGTTATAACTCCTTTATTTATTTCTTAATAAAAACTCTATTTCTATTATTATATCTTTATATAATAATTATTATTTCTTCATCAAAGTTACATACAATTTATGATAATTAATTACGTTATTTTCATATGAGCATACAACAACCTTGGTTCTTGTATACTCATGCGAAGATCCAGAAAACAGGTTTCATTTTGTTAAGAAATAAAACCGTAACAAAAAATATAATTCTGAAATTCCAAAACCCCGAACAGCCGCAACGAATCTAATTATATTCATGAAGGTTAAATAAACTTTAAATATTAATATTGTACGTACGTACCTATACGTAAATATCTTGTAACAGTCTCAAAGTACATACATACAATTATAAATAGGTTAACAATGTTTTGTTGCGGACATCCGAGGTTTTGTTGGGACTGTCGTGCAGTCTAAACGACAGTAGCGGATCGTTTTGTCGATCCTGGAGCCCTTTTCCGTGGACAGCGTACGTGGGACTTAACCGTGGGTATAGTCCAGTACACTGTCAAGGGAGAATAGCTCCTTGTACAGAGCCGGGAAAACGTGGTGTGGGTGTGCAGCCTTGAAGCGACATAACGCCTCAAGGTGCATCAGGGACAGCTCTCTGTAAAGAAAAAAAATCAGTATTTAAATCACATTCTTATTTCTCGTAAAAAATGTCGGTTCACGCGCGTTTTATACAACCCGCGCGATTTTTGCTAGACTCCTTTTTGTCTGCACGTAAACGCACTATTTTAAAGCGAGAGAATTAAGCGCTAGAAATAGCGTTTGCTCACGCATTTTTAAATACATAAATGTGAAATGTTTTAAAGAGCCTAAAGTTGGGGAAAATGTCTTAATTCATGGGTTTCAGCTGCTATGTCTAAGTTCTTTAAGAATGGTCTGATTTTTTTCAAGTAAATAACTATTTTTAGGTTTTCTTACTAAGTTTTTTGGGAATTTGGTGAGTTACTTTTCACTTTTGTCAGCGTGTCTCATTGATGATGTTCTTTCTAAATATGTCCTGCCCAGTTCTCGTCCTTTTGTTTTCGAGTAAGGTACACGATTATAACTATTTTCAGCTTTTATTACTAAGTTTTTTGGGAATCTGTCTAGTTTTCAATTCTTCTTACTTTTGTTATAATTATTAGACGATTTTTACTATTTACTGGACATATTTTGTCCAGATTTTGCTTTTTGTTTTTTAGTGTTCATTAGTTATACGATTATAATATTTTCAGCTGTTAGGACTAAGTTTTTAGGGAATCTGGCTATTTTTCTATTCTTCGTATTTTCGTTATGATGATTATACGAATATAACTATTTTCAGCTGTTATAACTAAGTTCTTTATAAAATATTGTCAGTTCTCGCCTTTTTGTTTTCGAGTAAGGTACACGATTATAACGTCTTGTATTTTCAGCATTTATTACTAAGTTTTTTGGGAATATGTCTAGTTTTCAATTCTTCTAATTTTTGTTATAATAATTAGCCTATTAAACTACTTTTTACAGTGGCTATAACTAAGTTCTTAGGAAATATCTTTGTTTTCGTATAAATTATGAGTTATACGATTATAACTATTTTCAGCTGTTATGACTAAGTTTTTAGGAATTCCATTCGTACTCGTAGTATTATAACTATTTTCAAGTGGGCCTAAACTTTTAAATTAAGTCCTCTGTCCTTAAAACAAGTGTCAACAATAGTATAACGTACAAAATGTATGTTATTGATTTTTTGTATATCAAGAATAGTTTAGCAGTTTATATAAATTAATCTATTTCTTTTTATCCTTTTTCCTAAAATTGGGAAGAAAATATTTCTATGGTTCTCAATATTTTAGATTGTATTGTTTAATACTAAAATTGTATACAGATAGATCTTATTATGGGTTTCATCTGTTACTAGCGTATTCTTCGGGCGTGCAGAACATCAAGGTTTTCAGGGAATTCATGAACTGTTTTGTACCATCAATTGATAATACTTATTACTAAGTTGTAACTATTGGAGACCAACATTGTCCACAATAATAGTATAATAAATAAATCTATATCTACTGTTTATATTCGGATACCATTTCATTATTGTATCGACTGAAAAAAACATAATAATGGGCATGGCTATTACTACTAAGTTTTACTGTTTAAGACCAATTTTATTGATTTTTGGATATCAATTACCTATTGTTCAGTGGTGTCTATAAACATCTATTTTTCTTTATTTTTCATTTCATTTTCAATAGTCTTTTGTCAACTGTTATTACTAAGTTTTACTGTTTAAGACTAAAATTGTGTACAGTAACATATTCAATGGGTTCAGCTGTTACTACCACATATTTCACGAAGTTCTTAGGAAAAATATAATTTATATTAATACGAAAATCAAATGCTCTCCAGCCGTTATTACTAAGTTTTAATGTTTTACGCCCGTATTCACAAACATTACTATGAGGTCTCTCAGTGCGCGTGGACGCACAGGGTGGCACACGAACCAATCACAGAGCTCTATTCAACGCCGTGCGTTCGATTTGCTGCTTCATTTAAGCAAGCATCGTTTGTAAATACGGACGTAAGACTAAAATTGTATACAAAAGGATGTTTTAATGGGTTTCAACTGTTACTACATATTTTACAGTATCATGGTTCCGTAGAAAACAAATAAAATGGCAATCAAAAGTTTTACCACAGAATAATAAACAGTACTAGTTTTACTGTCAAACTAATGTTGTCCATAACTTATGTACTTTTAGTATTTTAACCACATTGTGTGTATTAGGGAAGAAAATCTTTCATTATTAGATTTATGTGCATTATTTTATTACCAATTTCTATGTCAAAAATTGTCATGGCTAGAATTTGGAACCATGTTGCGAATAAAAATTTGTTTTATCTATCAATTGTTGTTTTAGTTATTGACCTAACATAACATAATATCCAAATGATCACAGCTGAAAACATTGCACAACTCAATATATTTACAATAAAACTGAAAAATATTATACCTTTATACCTATTTAGCAAGGTAGAAAGGTAACCCAAATCGTGGGTTCGAATCCCGCCTTAGGCAGTTCAATTTTTTCAAGTTACGAATACCTATTTATAATTTTCAAAGTACCTAGGTATCCTAAAGTAAATAAATCGATAGAGGTGCTTTAGATAATGACCGTCGAATTTCTGTGTCATGAATCGAAACCAGACATTCATAAGAGTTTAAGTTCAACATTCAAATTTTAATATTTTTTGCATACAAGTGTAAATATTTTAAGTCTAGTCTAAAATTTTGTAAAAAAATAAGCAATATAATAATAAATAAGCTTCAGTTGTTCTAAAATACTTTTTTATAATAGTTAAATATTTAATACACTGAGTTTCAAAACGTCTGGCCAGTTGGGAGTATAAACTAAATCCTCAATTTGCCTCTGCTAAATTAGAAAGTCGCGCTCCTGCAGTGGACACTAAACCTAACGATGATTTATTTTATCTAACTGACATAGTGATCTATCAACGCACAGCCCAAACCACTGGACGGATCGGCCTGAAATTTGGCATGCAGGTAGATGTTATGACGTAGGCATCCGCTAAGAAAGGATTTTACGAAACTCCACCCCTAAGGTGGTAAAATGGGATACACGCGTACGATGTCGCGTGCGACCGCTAGTGTATGATAAAAATGTTAAATACGTACCGATATGTTGGTATCTTCGTAAGCAGAGTGTCCAGCACAGTCACGTCTCCCTTCAAGGGCGCATGGTTGGTCTCAATCTCGTGCCTCATAGCAGCCATTGACATGTTGAAGAGGCACTGGATCTCAGGGTTGCCTCGGACGCCGTGTCGTTCTGGAAAGTTAAGGTAATATCATTAACAACTGGTGACAATAAAAATATGTGGCAATAACCCAATAATATCGGTTTCGGACTGGCCAAATAATAAAAATAAATAATACAAAATCGAATCGAGATCCGAGGAACGTGGGTTCGAACCCTGCTTGAAGGAAATAATTTTAAGTGATAATCTAAAGGGAACTAATCGAATTCATATTAGAATATAAAATTGGATATCTTTTTTCGTATTTTATATAATATCTGTGTAGCTTGATTAAAAATAATTCAGCAAAAGAAAGAAGATAATATAATGTAATCATTAAAATATCTTTCTTTTTTTCTTTGTATTTATTATAGGATTTTGATATCTCATTCTTCATAGTTGTAGAAAAAACTACATTTAGAGGAATATTAAAATTAAATATAATTTTTTCTTACCTGGCCAGAGAAGCACGAGGCTCTGGTACAGCGCGAGCTCAGTCTCAGTCAGCTTGAGTCGCGCTATTGTCTTCGCGGCGTCGAATATTCCCACCACCAGAGCCATGTCACGGGGATCACTGAAAATGCAGAAAAATGGCTTAAAAATCATCCTTATATTTTAGTAAATAAGGTTGTTTGATAGGACGACAAAAACCATCCTTATACTTTGGTAAAGTGTTGTCTAATAGGACGATTAAAGATTTTAAAATGTTTACATTGAGGACTTGGCTTGAGTGTACCTACTTCTTAATTTATCTTCAAGTTTACGTTATACCCTTGGATTCTAGTTTACTAATTTTCTAAAGTTATTGAGGATTGGAAAATTTCAGAACTTTTATAATTTGTTAGGTTTTAAGCTTCTAGCTTATTACGTTTCTGAACTTTTATGCGTTGCCATTTTGCATAAAGACTTAAGACGCCTCAAACAAAATAAATGTAACTTAATATACGATTAAATGTAACTCACCGCGCGTGGACGCATTCTCTGATCGGCAGAACGACATCGCCGTACAACACTTGGTCACGGTTCACGTCAATCAGTCTCGAAAGGCGCACGATGGCCAACTCGAACGAACCTAATATACAAATAAATGTAAATAAATAAAAGTTTTGTATATATTATGTATATTCCCTACGTTTCTTCATTTATCTGAAAATATTCATAACATTTTTCTTCGTGTTTAAAGGCAAGTTAGAGAAAGAATTATTTACGTGTTAAATTGGCTTCATCATTAAAATATAAAATAAATAATTAGTTCATTTTATCATTATCATTACTTACACTTAACCGTCACCACTAACTACAGTCGAATCTTTATGCAACCCCAGTTTTTCCGTGTCATTAAGACCGAAAAAAGAAAAAACAGTAAAATGATTGGAACGATGATACTCACCTGACTTTAAAAGCAGTATTTGGTCGTCCTGGGTGAGTTTCATGAACCCAGGTATGAGTTTTGCGAACTCAATGATATTCTGAATCATCCCGGTGAGCTTGTCGGCGCAGTCCAGCCACATCTCTTCATAAGTCATCGAGTTGTAAAATAAAAGTCTGGAACAAATTCATTTGGGCATATTGTAGACTTATTTGTACACCTTCTTCTTCTTATTAAATAGCATTATTGACAACCGATTTTAAACATAAAATGCGTCTATTAGATTGAACTCATATAAATGAAGTCTACTTTTTGTGTATAGGCACTTAGTTTAATTCATAAATGTATATTTTTTTCAATTATACAGGGTTAAGTAGAAAACGTTAATTTTGCTGCCACATAAAAATACATAGAACCAACAGAGTCAACATTAGGTACAGTATCAGTCATATGATAAGAATAAGGTAAAATAAAATTGTAGAGTTTAATGAGAGTTCATAAAACATCAATCTATTGACGTTGTTTGACAATACAAACCTCAGTCATAAACTAAGTACAAAAAATGACCATTTTACAATTTAATGATACATCATTAATTCGTAAAATAATGATAAAACACTCACTTAGACACATCTGGTGGTTTCCTGAACATCTCGTGGATGAACTCCAGCTTGGGGTTGGTGTTCGCGTGGGCTTCAGCCAGGCTCTTCACCAGGACCTTGCTGATGTCACCTTCGGCTGGAAAGATGATGATGACGTTAGATGATGAAATAATACACCTAGGTAAGTACGCCTACTATCTATTTGCCTCTGGTAAAGAGAGAGTTGTGCTCGTGCAGTGGAGAATAAAATAACCCTGATGATGATGATTTTGTTAGATGATTGAATTGTTATATTAGCTAGGTAAGTACGCCTCTCAAACATTATGTTTTCCTCTGTTAAATCAGAGAGAGTCGTGCTCCTGCATTGGAGAATAAAAGGACCCTGATGATGATGTTGGTGATGACTAATAATTGAGGGGGAATTATAAATTTGATTTGATAGTTGAGATAACAGACTTAGAGTAGTCGCACATCGTTGATTTTTCGTCGGCCGATAGTTTAGTCGGGCAGTTGATCAGTATGGGCATGTATGGGAGTGCGCACACTACGCCGATTCGATTTGGCCGATTCTTCATACAAAATAAAATCGGGCCCAACTATCAGCCAACTAAAAATCAATGGTGTGCGCCTTCTCTTATAGCACACCAAACGCTTAAAATAACTTCCAAATTGATCACATTACTGTACCTCTAGTACGAAAAACTTTCGAGCGTTTCGTTTGCGTATTCAAAGTGTCATCGAAAAATTTTGTATGAAAAATTAAACAGCGCCCCCTATATTATAGCCGCCCTAGGGGGCGCTGTTTAATTTTTCATACAAACTTTTTCGATGACACTTTGAATACGCAAACGAAACGAACTCGAAAGTTTTTCGTACTAGAGGTACTGTATTAAAAGATGTTTATTACAATTTAACCTACTGTATACAAAAATACATGAAAATAACAATAAATTAAAAAAAAAACTATTTACATGCTAAAAATAAACAAAAGAAATTAAATAAATAATTATAAAAATATAAAAAAGCTGTATACAATAATAAAAACACATCTATCTACGGCTGTAAATTAAAATAAAAAATGTTACAGTCACAATGACAGATTGACAGATTGACAGGTTGACAGGTTTCCGACAGGATCATGTCAACATAAACTAAAATTTCGTGATGATTTTTTATTAAAATATATTATGATCGATCCTATGTCAGCATTCGTGCTCGGTTCCTGCTTATTCGCTTGTTGGCGTAAGTATAAAAAAATATTATTATTATGTCAAAGTATAAATCATTAATTTAAACCTCCACCATTTCTTAGGAGAACTTCAGTTAAATCTACAAGGTCTTATACCATTATTCTTTCACCATATTATTATTCTTTCTTTCTCTTTCTTTAAAAACAGACATACAGTATTCAACTCAAGTAGGTAATAGAATCCCATAATAAATGACAAGTACTAATAATTACTATAATGGGAACTAGAGGTGGGAATAGTCCCACTGGTCAGGAATGGTAACTTTCCCCCGGGACAAACTTGACCTTCACTGATTGGGTTTTTATTGGCGGTCAAGCTGTAGGTCCTGGCTACACAGGAGTTGCAGTGGTGGGAACGAGAGGTGGGAATAGTTCTCTTGCTCTGTGTACTTCGAAGGTAGGTAGAAATTATTGAAGAATTAATAATCAACAAAAAAAATATTTCTCTTTTTAGCATGCTACCTCCCATGCTGTCTGTTTTTGCCATTCGTACCGTACCCATTTCTAATAATACACGACCCGAAGAAAGAAAGAGATGGTCAGAGACCATACCAACCTATTTCGGTAAGACCACAAGTTTATATAAGTACAACATCTTCGATACTAAAGGATTTGCCAAACAGGATTTCTTGCGGTCAGCGATCAAGTCAAATAGAATGCAGCTGGCATTTTATAAAAAATTAAAAACATTGTCGGTCTTATTTTGTATTGAAGCGATCAGACCGTGCAGGCACGTGCAAAGAACGCAACCGTTGACAGATTGCCTTTTCACGACCGCTGACAGCTGTTGTCTTGCTCAAACTGCTGACCGATTGCCCATGTTGTTCGTACAAAATACGGGCTGCGATCACTTTGACCTGACCGCAGACCGCAAAACACATCCAGTGCGGCAAATCTTTAAAAGTTACCTAACATAATAAATTTGTATGATTTCAGGTGAACGACCAAGTATACTACTTAGAGATGACGCCAAGCGGTTTTTTCCTAAAGAAAAGGAGGAGAAATTCTACTGTGTAAAAAATCTATTTTAAATAAAACATAACAAACAAAATAGCTTATTGACTACCAAAAAACATAGCTGAAACGAAAATGCAGCGTCTAAACGTAGACTTACAAGGCAACTCTTCGCTCGTCGACGATCCACTTTGGCTTGATCCCTGATGCCTTCTGTTTGTCACGGCATTGGGGTTCACCATTCCCATCCCACTCATATTCATGTTCAATGGATCCATCAGTCTCCCATGCCCACTGCTGGACGTCAGGTCGTCAGGGCTCAACTCCTCGCTTGTCAAAGAGACTGAGCTCTGACCAGTGACGAGAACAGAATTCTGGATGTCCATAGGACTGTGTTGGATGTTCGATGGACTATGCAGGAAGGTGGTGGAGTCCACGTAACTGGCGACCAAATTGTCAACTCCCATTGAAGTCTCTGGCTTGATTTCTTGCTTGATATTTATGACTCCACTGCCAGTTGGCGAGTGGATACGGTCATATCTGTCGAACTCCTGTATTCTAGTTCTGGGCAGCTCGTTGATGGCTGACTGACGGATGGTGGTGGACGCCGTAGTCTGGGTATTGGTGCTGGTGGAGCCAGATGGTCGGACGATGGTCGTCCCCTTTTGTTGATCGTCTAGTGGAGTTTGGAAGGTTAGTATGGGGTTGTTAGTGACTTATTTTAATGTTAGAGGGTTATATGAAGCAGAACTGGTATCAGGCATTGTTTAATCGGGCACTGAACAAGGTGGACCGACGACCTCATAAAGGTTTTGGTTTGTTTCACAAAACCACACCCTGTTTAAAGCCTTACTCACCGTTGCCAATGAAGTCTGTGTCCAAAAAGCCGGTCTGCTTCGGCTCGTACGTGGTCGAATCGACCGCGTAGTCGGCTGACACGTCGTACGACTGAGGCTGCGGCGGCGCTGGCTGCATCCCACTCATGTTTGAAGGCAGCGCTGGGCCCGCGTTGTTGTAACCGTATGACGACAGAGGCGAGCCGTAGGCCGGGTAGCTGGGGACGAAAAGGAAGGTTAGCAGATGTGAGATAAATAATAATAAATATCCTTGGACTCCCCAACCCGTCTGGCCAGCGTGGGTGGCAAACCCTCAATTTGCTGGTAAATTGGAATGTCCTGCAGTGGAAACTAAATGACCTGATCTTACTCGATTTAATTTTCAGAAGATAAAAGTTAAATAAAGATCCAACCCCACCCTAGCCTACGAGCGGCAAAACTGTAAATCCGCCACTGGGTGTGTCAGTTTCATCAACTACCCCTGTTTTCAGGTGGTCAAAGTCATAGTTCTCCATGCTCAGAGAAAGTTCGGTGGTCAACCTCAATCCCAACTAATATTATAAATGCGAAAGTAACTCTGTCTGTCTGTCTGTCTGTCTGTCTGTCTGTTACGCTTTCCCGCTTAAACCTCGCAACCGATTTTGATGAAATTTGGCATAGATATAGTTTGAGTCCTGGGAAAGAACATAGGATAGTTTTTATCCCGGTTTTTGAAACAGGGACGCGCGCGATAAAGTTTTTCTGTGACAGACAAAATTCCACGCGGGCGAAGCCGCGGGCGGAAAGCTAGTCAATAATAATAACTTAAGCATTTACTTATAAGAAAGCACGGAGAAGTTGAGAAGAGAGCTCAATCTCTGACCTACTCACAAATAACTAACGCCTACTATAGTCTATCCAATATAGCTTGATTAGAATGACAGCTGCCATCAAAAGTAACGACATAACTTTGTAGTAGCGATCAATGAGAGCTAAATATTGGCGGACAAGAAATAATTCACGTCGGACCTACAAACAATATTTTCGACGACAGTGCTTCCAATAAAAATGATAATTTCGTGTATATGCAGCGTTAAATTACACCTATAAGTAGTAATTCGAAATTATAAAAATCAAGCTAGAGTATTAACGACGTCTCTACAAGGTTATCTCGAGTTACAAAAATGTTAGTGTTGGGACATATCGACAAATGTCATATTAAATTAAAACTATTTTTTTAACATATTTAACAAAAAAAATTTCTAACTAATTTTTTTACATATTTAAGTCAAGTTATACGTTTTTCTAAATGTTCACTATTAAAAACCAAAAAACATTTCATTCTTAAATAATCAAACATCGGAAATCAATCACCGGTAATTTTTTGGGTATTCATAGCACCGTTGCTCTAGAAGAGATGCCCACCGCCCTCTAGCGAGAGGAAAAAACCACTGAAGAAAACTGATGATAATGACTACGACTTAGGTTGTACACCCTTGACATGAATTTTAAATTTTACTGTCTTTAAATTTAAATCATAATTGTCATTTTTATGAATAAAGTTATGAAGAAAAATTGGGTGCATTTTTTTATATCATTTTTTCGAAAACTTATCGATACATCTATGTGAACCGTACGAAACATACTCAGCACTAGTCACATTCGTTTGACAGCCGTCATTCTAATCAAGCTATATTGGATAGACTATAGGTACTGCTACTACAGTAGCTAGTTAGTTACCTACAATTTTGAAATAAAACAATAGACGTTATCAGTTTCAGCATATTTCTCTAAAATCCCGGATTCTCTGTCAAAGCTATGGGTACCTAGTTAATGTCCATAAAAACAACTAGGTAGGTATGTCTCACGCCTCAAACTTATGGCATATACATCTAACTTACTTTGCCGCTAACCGAACAAAAAGGTCATTATGTACAATTAAAACCTGTCGACTCAATGGCGCTATCTATCAACGCGCGCAAGAAACTCTGTAGCACGTGGTACCGCTACTCGATACTAGGTGGCGCTACTTAACTTTACCGTTAATGCCATTTGATGCTAAGTGATAAGGATGCTAGTTTCTGATTAGTTTTACTAGATACGATTATTTGCTTGAGATTACTCAAACGACCAACCAGTCGATTATGCACTTGTGAATAATATAAATTAATTGAAAAATAAAATGGCTTATCGCCGATTTATTAGAATGTCACAGTTTCGTCTATAAACCTTTCTTTTTTATCAAGTTATTTACTGCAATTAAAAAATTATCGCCATATCCTTGAAGCTCGTAACATGTGCTTACTTTTTTTACCTCCCATCTTACCTAATTATTGACTGAGACATAATAGGTACATACATAGGTATAAAAGATTAGAAATAATGGACTTATTTAGGTTTGCTCCTAATATTTTAATCACGTATAATAAGAATTACCTACTTAATTGTTTTCACACACTCAACTACATTTCTGAAATGGAGGCTGCCAATTTAAAATCCTAAGCGCTAAGTAAACATAAACGTATAAAATGCAGCCGGTCTAACAGTAACAGTCAGAACGTACCGTTCCCATAATGACGGTTGACACACATCGGTGACAAACTGCACCTAGCGGTAACTCAGGCGCAGACACTAATTCCTAGGCATTAGTTTTATGTTCTTTGCCTTACTTTGAGCAAAAAATTTCTGTAGGCTGTAAGTTTTATGTCTTCTTTGCCATAATTGAAAAAAAAAGGCTCTAGGCTGTATAGTTTTTGTTCCTTTGCCTGAAATTAATAAATTATTTTGTATAGTCTTGCAGAACGCATGACCTACTTGACTGTATTTACCCGACTAGGGCAGAAGGAGGGTTATGTTCTTAGCCATTTTCCTCAATCTGTTAGTTGTCTGGAAGAAATCGCCACTCGCGATATGACCGTTGAAATTTTGCAACTCTGTTGCTATGATTAGGTCATATTATGCTCAATTTATAGAAAAAAGTACAGACATAATTATTCAGCCCAAAAAGCACACAAGCGGAAAAAGCTTGTATATTAATAAAACAAAGCTGTATTCTTCAATATCTTTGCTACTTCTTGCAATTTTCTTCCATTCATAATTGTCAAACGTATTTTTTCGAATCTTCACACGTATATAGTTCCAAAATACTGGACTGTCCTGTCGATGACATTGATAGTGGGGCGCCACCGTCAATACCGGATCGCTGGTTCAGATTTTTGCCATGTTGGAAACCATATAGTTGAACGATGGTAGCGCCCCCCTGTCATTGAGTTTGGCGGGACAGTTCAGCGTGGGTCATCTATAGTTCCAAAATACTGGACTGTCCTGTCGGTGACATTGACAGTGGGGCGCCACCGTCAATACCGGATCGCTGGTTCAGATTTTTGCCATGTTGGAAACCATATAGTTGAACGATGGTAGCGCCCCCCTGTCATTGAGTTTGGCGGGACAGTTCAGCGTGGGTCATCTATATTTTAATCTGACAAACATTTTAAACACCGCTACTCGATATCATCGATAAAAACCAACAATACATACAAGTTAAACATTATACTCGTTTTTGTTAGCGTGTAAAATGGGCCAATCAACAGCTGTTTATACAAATACACGGAAATTCTGAAGCTGGGTCACATAGCAACGGTGCTAGTTCTTCTACCCGTCAATAGATGGCGCTGAGCGTTCCATTGTTTCAACGTTCATTGGCCTACTGTAGATGTTTTTGTTCGTGTAATGATCTTTGCAGATATTTGCGTCTGACTACTAAAGAGTAATACAATGCTTTAATCCAACTGTGGTGCTTTACTCAAATGAATAAGTACCTACTTGTTCTAAAGTAAGTAGGTACTTCCTACTTAGGTATTATAAAGTAGGTAGGGACCTATTTGAAACTTGTTGTTTTCTTAACAAATACCTAATAGGTATTTAACAATACATTTCAAACCGTACTCTACCAAAGGGTTTAGCTAGTAATACTGGCATCAGTGCTGAGTTTACTCCAAGATTGATTTTTTTACCAAATAATGTCTTATTTTGATAAGTAGGTACCACAATGTTCACGAAATTGAGACTTGTCGGGTCACTCGGGTCAGAGGACACACCTTCTTATTCAAAATTAGTTCATCTACTTAGTAACAGATGACACTATTAAGAAGGCGCGTCAGAACACGCCCTCTTAATTTAAAATTAGTTCAGCTTCCCAATAATAGATGGCGTTACTCACCCATTCTAATGGCCGTGGAATTTAATGCTGCGTTTACACTGCGCGGAAATTAGCCAAGTCAAGTCAAAAAACAGTGGGGTGGGGATGAAAAATGAATGAATTTCATCCCCACTCTGTTTTTTTGACTTGACTCGGCTAATTTCCGCATAGTGTAAAAGCAGCATAAGAATAAAATAAACACGTCAGAATACGCCCTTAATTTAGTTCATCTACTCAATAACAGATGGCGGTACTTACCCATTGTAATGGCCGTGGAATTGGTCGCTTGAGCTCGGCGTTTGTTGCTGTGCATCGTACACAGAGTCCGGCGCCGCGTCAGTCTGAGCTCTCATCTGGGCTCTGTGAAACCGCACCTCGTCTTCCACCTTCTCCCGTTGCTTCTTGGACATACGGCCGAATTTCACCGCTGAAAAGAACAATCAAGTTGTAAAACAATGAAAAAGGGATCGATTTTACGTACTTAAGGCAGAGGTAAGCTGCTTCCCATTAGAAAGCTTGCTTAGCTGTTGATAAATTAATATGAGAGGTAGGTATTTGCCTAAAAGTGGTGCCCAACGCGTTGTTGAAATAAAATCAGTTGAATTTTTTAAGATTTTTAAGGTTATTTCTGTATTCGTCACATTTTAGTCACATTATTGTTTCAATATTCTGATTTAACTAATCTAGGAGGTAATTTAATAAATCATTGATGAATTTTTTAATGTAGGTTCCGCATTTTTTTTCATAACAAAAATATGAAAATAAACCTTTTTCCAAATGTCAAATTTAGTTTAAAATTTAGTTTTTGCAGTCAGTACCTCTAGTAGGAAAAACTTTCGAGTTCGTTTCGTTGCGTATTCAAAGTGTCATCGAAAAATTTTGTATGAAAAATTAAACAGCGCCCCCTATATTATAGCCGCCCTAGGGGGCGCTGTTTAATTTTTCATACAAAATTTTCCTACTAGAGGTACAGTATCCTAACCTTTTAAAAATAAACTAGCGTGAAAATCACGAAAAAGTCAATCAATAATTAGTTACCGCTACTCCCCGCATCGGCGCTGCGATCGGTATGACATAACGAAATTTACAAGGGAACGCAATTTTCGCGTCATTCCCATATGCGCATTATCATCGAATAAAAAACATTAAAATCGGTAAGCTTCTTCGTTACAATGCAATTAGTATGTTCTCAATGACATAGCTGTTACTCAACACTACCACATTCTTGTGTGCTAGTGTGAGTGCGATCGAAGTGTGCCGCGTCGCTGTGTGAGTTTTCTCGGTGTGCGTGCGTTCGTTGGCATACTGCCTACTGGAACAACGAACTCGGCTGACGTTATACATACGTTGTGTGTGTGACGTATAGGCTACGTAAGCCGCGATACCGTTGTTATTCTCGCGGCAAAATTAAAAAGCCACAACTTATTCTGCGATTCGAAAAAGGAGTACACTTTTTAAATTGTCGAATCTATAAGTTGGGCGAACTTTAGATGGCCAGTTTGAATTGAGCTGTGCGTTCGAACGTTTAGTTTTGGAGTTATGTCTTTGTAAATTGGGAGGTTTTTATTACAGATTTTGGCCGATGACCCCGTGTTAACGGCCTACATTCGAAGATGTATGAACATATTGTACGCGGAAACAAAGCTAATGTTTGTAGGCAATAAATTATAATGGAATTTATTTTTATGGGGCGTCTGGTCTAAGAGTTCGTTATTCTGTGCCCTACCTAGGGGTCACGCGCTACAATTCATGTTTTTGTGGTAACAATAATAATATTATACTCTTTGAGAATAACAACGGGCGTTCATTCGAAGAAAAGTTCGTTGTTCTCAATATTTTACGGTTTCTATAGTTTCAAATTACCTACCTACATTTCTTTCAGTAGGAGAACTTAGATCAATATGTATCCTTTGAGTTTGATTATGGGTGATTTTGCTATGAATTTACTGATTGTTCATCGCACTAACTTCCAGGGCCGTTTTTAAATTAAAGGCCCTGCGGGCATTCAAGGATCAAGGGGGGCCACTTTTCCTATAAAAAAGATACCAAAATTTTTGGTCCCCTCTAGTTCAAAATAAGGTCAAAACACAATTTTTTACAGTCTGTCAATGACAATGAATAGAAAAGAAAACTAGCTACACAGTCTACAGATAAACGTTTCATAAGTTTTTTACTCAAAAGAAAATTGGCCTTTAGGCCAATATATATACTTTAGGAAAATATTTATATTTTTATTTTATTTTATTGATATTATGTACGATTTTCCAAATTACCTATTATAAAATTGTATTTATTTTATTGTATTTCTGTAGAAAAAATAACACTTCGACATAATAAGGTAATTTGACCTGTTTTGGGATAAATGAATACTTCCTATTTTTTCTGATTCTTCCACTTACAAAAAAAACTTGTAATTTTGTTTTTAAGTTGTTACTGCAAAGACCATAGTTTCAAAGTTAAATAAGCACTAAAATAAACTTTTTTAACTTGCCCCAATCACCGAAACTAGCTAGACAATTTACTAAAATCTAGGTCACCAATGCAGGAATAGTTCGGCTCGTAAAAAGTGCTCGTGTTATGTGTGCTCGCGTGCAGTTACGCTTGCCTGCGATTGCACAATCGTAGGGATGGGGTGGTGTCGGTAAAAATGTCGATAATTGGTCGAGACGATAGACAAAGTAATTTTTTATTTATATTTTCTTACGAGCTTAAAAGTCTGATGTCATGTCAATCTTCGTAACAACAGAGAAACAATGATCTTAATTTATTTATTATGAGCTTAAAAATCTCTGATGTTGAGGTGGGAATACTCATCATCATTTCAGCCACAAGTCGTTCACTGATTGAGTTGGGAATGTCATCATTAAAATTACTATTAGTTCCAATGTCATGAATACTTTCAGCATTATTGCTGATAATAATAATAGTTTCTGAATTATTTAACGCTATTAATACAATCTCTATTTTTAGAAGACTTCTGAAAATAACTTCAAAAAGTTAATAATGTCTTCCTGAAATACAATGGCTATTACAACGAAAGTGGAACTAAACGCTTCTCACTCCTTGTAATTATGTCACATATTTTTCATAGTCACAAAAGATTAACGTGTGCGTGGAAATTAAACATTTAAGTTGACAGGAGAATAAATATCCTGCGATATATTACGTCCCACTTCTAATCTGACGCGTTGCGTGTTTATTTTGATTTTAGGTATTAATAATTAATTAGAAGTAGATTTCGCAGCGTGTTACAAGTGTTTAATAGAAATGTCATGATTTGTGCTAGATGTGTCGTGAAATGAAATGTTTTCTCGTTAGTTAGACGATCTGGTTTTATTCGTTAAAACTTTATTCTGTCTCCGAATTAGCTAAGCTTTAAGGTGACACTTTTAAATTATTGTCTTCTATTAAGTGGATTTTAACTAACTTAAAAGTGTCGGCATGAAACTGCCATTATTCGAACATTAGAAGTCGTATTCTATCATGTATAAAAGGCATGAGATTTCCGATTTCAACATAGAGTTTTGGTACACAATTACTTTATGGAGATAGGAATCCATGACACTTTCAAAACTGTGCGTGAACGTTGGAGCATCGATATTGTGTGATTAAAATCTATTTTTACGTTTTTTGCGTGCATTATGTTCATTGTCGACATTTTTATCGATCACACACCACATCCCTATCTGTTACATCAGTTGCGTCATACTTGTACAATCAGTCACACGACACGCGACTCGTCTTCGTCGCGGACAATGTGTGAAATGGAGCGTTAAGCGAAACGTCTGATTTGGCGTGTGTTGCAGGCAAACTTGGAAATCTGGTTTTATTGGAAACTAGCGGCCGCCCGCGACTTCGTACGCGTGGAACCCGTTTTACTCCCTTCATCTATCTTACGCGGTTTAGATTTTTTCATACTAATGTTTTTTCCTGCTAACTCCCGTTCCCGTGGGAATTTCGCAATATCCTGTTGTAACTAAGCTTTAAGTTTACTAAGGTACCTGCATGCCAAATTTCAAGCGTCTATCTTAAGTGGCTTAGATTTTTTCATACAAATGTTTTTTCCCGCTAACTCCCGTTCCCGTAAGAATTTTGCAATATCCTGTTATAACTAAGCTTTAAGTTTACTAAGGCACCTGCTTGCTAAATTTCAAGCGTCTAACTTAAGCGGTTTAGATTTTTCATACAAAAGAATATTCCCTCTTGTTCCCGTTTCCGTGAGAATTTCGGGAATTCCTTGTTGTAACTAAGCTCTAAGTTTAATAAGGTACCTACATGCCAAATTTCAAGCGTCTAACTTAAGCGGTTTAGATTTTTCATACAAAAGGATTTTCTCGCTAATGCCCGTTCCCGTGGGAATTCCTAAGTATCCTATAACCTGCCCAGGAGTATGAAGAATAATTGTACCAAGTTTCGTTAAAATCCGTCAAGTAGTTTTTGTTTCTATAAGGAACATACAGACAGACAGACAGACAGACAGACAGACAAAAATTTTACTGATTGCATTTTTGGCATCAGTATCGATCACTAATCACCCTCTGATAGTTATTTTGAAAATATATTTCATGTACAGAATTGACCTCTCTACAGATTTATTATAAGTATAGATGTCTGTTTTAAAAATACATGTGACGTAAAATAATTTAGTGAACCTGCAGAAATTTCAAGTTTCTTTTACACTGTAAGCTGTCATAATGATTTGATGAGGACTAAAATGATGATGATAGACAAATTAACAAAATTTTAACCATGGAACCTTATTTCGCCAGAAATGAGAAAATCGTGAATATTACGCACTGGCTCATTTATTTATTGCCCGAAGCAGTGCGCAGTGGTAGGGTTTTTTTAACAGTGGGATTTGCGAAAGCGCTTTTTAAATGCCTATTTTCAGAAAATAGATAACTCTTTATGACTTTTAAAACAGAAATAAGAGAGAATTTCCACAAAATTAAAATGTGACGCAAATTATACATTATAATCTTTCATACATAGAAAGTCAAATAATAATTCTAAAGTGTCATATTTCATCATTTTTCATCAAACATAGCATAGGCGAATAATCCGATTTTTCGTTGTAATATAGCACTTATTACAAACTTCATAGATATCAGTGTTGCTTTTCTTAATATTTCATATTTTATTATCCTATTAAGGTAAGCATAGACTAGAGTGTTTTACAAAGTCTCTATAGGGGGGTCGCGAGAGGTCGAAAAACTACCTTAGGAAAATAAACAATAAAGTTTTAAGATAAATTTGTCCGAAATCTAATTATGCAAATGCGTAAATGTTGTATGGATTGAAGTATTCGGTCCCTACAACATCTTTGTAAAATTATAAAATGCATAAAAAAAGCGAAAGGTCGGAGTTGTGGTCGGGGGGTCGCTAAATATTTTTCATACTAGGGGGGTCGTGTCATAAAAAAGGTTAAAAAACACTGGACTAGAGAATTTATATTTAACGTTCTTACGAATAGTACAGTTACAGTCAGCGTCAAATAGATCGTGACACCCAAAGTAGCCAATAAGTTCGCAACACGTCTTTGTTACAATTGGAATAAGGTTGTGTTGTCAACTTTTTGGCCACTTTGGGTGTCACGAACTATACTTACGAGCAAAAGTATGGAATCACCCTCTTGTGTTTTGTTCCCAGCGATCTGAAGAACTCGATGATTATCTATGTACGTATGGTATCAAGTTAAACTTAATAATGTAACCTTTAAACTGGTACCATTTTTTATTTAATATTCATAGTCATTTAGTTCCAAACATCACTCGAAACGAATGGGTTGATTCCATATTTTTTCTCGCGAGTGTATTTGACGTTAACTGTACAATACAGGTAAAAAAAACGTCATTTGGTTCGTAAAAGGGTGACACTGACACTAGAACATTTCATAGAGCGGCTCTTTGTTCTGTTACAAGTAAATGCTCTAGTCAATACTCACCTTTATATTGTCTAGTGTTGGTATAGTCTGATTTATTATTATTTTAAACGTACACGATTTTATTTTGAAATAAATTAAATCTATCAATTAAAGTAAATTTATTATGACGCGGCAATTAATCATTATTACCAATAAAAGTCAAATAATAACAAAAATAATATAACTTGATGTCGGTTTAATTGATGAATGTCAACAAATAAATATAATAAATAACAATTACAACGGCTGATGTTAAAATTTCAAATATCAAAACGGTATTGTACATGAACTAAAATATTTTTTTCAATTGCTTCGATAACTCAATAATAAAACGTATTTTATTTTAAAGTTCTGCCGTAGCGCCATTTACTAAAAGATGTTAATTTGTCCGTCTGTTAGACACAGGTCTATTTGTGAACCGTGATATTGTCACATTGTGTATTACCCGAGCCATTAAAAAACAAATAATATAAATAAAAAAGATGCTGCTATAAAACTAATAATACTCGCAGAAAAAAGAGTGAAAAATACAACGATCCCTTACTTTAGGAATGTGTTTTTGTCGTTTTTAATTCCTTAATAAAAACGTAAAAATATGACTATCCAAGAGAAAAAAAGTTATAGTGGAACATTTCTTTTTTACTTTGTAAACTGAAAAACAAAACAATAAAAAATGTTTCCTCAAAAAAATCTCTCAATAAATTTTGGAACATTTCATTCTTTTTACCTGACTATTAGTATTTATTAATCAGTCTATGTATTTTTATATTTATTTACGTAAGCTACCGATTTCAGTCTCAAGAAAAAAAATTTTATTCGCATACCCTCAATCTGGATTTATAAACGCCTCAAGATTACCACGTGGTGAGTGGTATGAGGAAGCGAGCGGGGTCGTCGCCCGGTTATCAGCGCTGATAAGCAATGTTTATACGCTACACGGTTGTTACTAGCCTTTGCTTGAAAAAATATGAAACAATGTGACCATTGTATTGTATTGGTTCCTTTGGTGTATTGGTTTCTTTACAATTAAATATTTTTTTATTTTTTTTTTTATTTTAATTTTTTGAAAGGAACAAATGACGTAAGTATTTTTAATCCAATCAAAATGAAAATTGCGAAAAGATTCGCGCAATCTCATAAGCATTATACCAAAGTCCAAAACGTCTTATAATAATTTTGGAATTTCTGCAACGAACGGTTGAGCCCACTTTTTAATATAGTAGTATTAGGGTCATTCCATCGTTTCGGGTGTTACGTTCGTACACACATATTCAACAATTTCATGTATTTTGAAATAGTATTTTAATAATGTTAGTGCCTTAATCTGTCCGTTTTTAGTTGTTTTATCTTAATAATAAAGTTTATACAGCTTAGAATGTAGGATAACAAAAATATGAGTCGAAAAGTGTGCGTTTCGGGCGTTACGAGATTTTGCCTCTATGTTCTGACTGTTGCTGCATTTACTCGAAATTTAGCGAATTTTCTTAAGGAATCATACCTAAAACTTACAGGACTTCTAAAGTATGACATTTACAAACCATGTAACATACAATCACTGTTAAATAAAACGTTTTAATATTTTTTTATAAATTTTTTCTTTGTTTCGGGTGTTACAATGGTTCTGTTTCGGGTGTTACGAGTACGAAAATTCAACTCGTTTTATCGATAAAATCGGTGTTTTATTAGTCTCTAGGTACTACAAAATAAGGAGTACAACAAATAAACACAAATAGAGCGAATTCTGGTTTGAAATTACGAAGCAGCTTTTTTTATTAAATATACAAAGTTCAAGTTTAATTTTTCCTCAGAATATAGCTTTTTCTATTGTTTTTGGCTTGAAATAGCATTACTTTAATTTCTAATTACGATATTTATTGGAAATGTCAAACATCGACACTTTTTAGCAATACCTTAATTTTAGTGTTAAGTCGACATTTCAAAAAAGTCTTAAATTGAGAAATATGACGCCTTTTCCGATGCCAGCGCTAGTGGGAGGTCAAAGGACCCTCACAGTAATACTTTTTCACTTCTCCAAGCAATATACACACATTATCGACATAGAAATAAAAATGTAATACCCGAAACGTTTCGGGTGTTACAGTTTTCAATCAAGAAAGAAACATACTAAATTAGTATCATGCTCAGATATTAGTTAGTATTTGAAATCATTACTACCATGACCTTACTTTTACCAAATATTGTTACCTTAATCCATGTGTAAGGTACAATAATAAAACAAATACCTGTTTTTCTGTTTCGGGTGTTACATCGCCGAAGTAACAAGAAAACACACTTAAAACTTGATGATTATCCATTTTTTGGGACTATGACGCTATCTACCAATACTATGATAAATACCCTCAATTCATATAGTGGCAAAACGTTTCACAGATTTATAGTTTTTTTTTAAATCGTATTACCAATAATTAGAGAGAAAATGATCATTCAGACAATTGACTTAAGTATAGACTTTGAAGACTAATAACTTAAAAATTACTTGTTTCTTTCAGATTTTTTTTGTTGCTCATTATAATTTGGAATGTTTACTTTCAAAATTCATCAGATTTAATGCGAAAAGAACATATTTAGTTTTTCACCCTCGGTAACATTTGTCATGGAATGACCCATTACTTAATATAACTAGTAAGATAAATGATATAGTTTCTTCTCTATCGCTTCACACAATTATTTAACATACATAAATAAACAATGAAATATGAACTTTTACAAGTAGGTATGTCAGACTTCATGAGTAATACTGGCGTCTGACATCTTTAAATAGTCTTTACGTGTTTTGAAACACGTCCTCAATAATATACAAAATTATTGGACTGATATTGATGTATACATGCTGTCTAGGATTTTGCATATAGCTGCCCAATAAATTCCTATTCACTATCGCCTTGAGAGGCCCAGATCAGTATTCGAAAAAGAGACTAGATTCACGTGTAAAACGGAAATGTTAAAGTGGACAGGGAACTTTACCCTACTAGATCTAAATGGTAGAATAGGCAGAAAACTCACCATCACGGCTCATCCCAAGCTTCAGGCACTTCTGCAGCCGGCAGTACTGGCACCGATTCCGGTTGACCCGATCCACCACGCACGCCTTATTCCGCGGGCACTGGTAGTTCACCACTGGAAACATAGGCTGTGTTAATAAAAAACAGTGATGTCTTTGCTATGGGGCAAAGTCAAAACGAAATGACCCTATGGTCATTTGGTAAGCAACGATACGGTACAGGGTTGAATAATACGAAACTATGTGACCATTTTGGTAGCTTTTTGTTATGGGGCCAGACCAGAACGACTATGGGGTCATTTGGTACGCAATGATACACGATACACGGTTGAATAATCTAAAGTATATGACCATTTTGGCACCTTTTTGTTATGGGGCAAGGTCAGAACGTCCATGGGGTCATCTGACAGACAGTGCGAGTAAAAACAGTGATACTTTTGCTACTAGATGACTTTGCTATAGGGCAAAACCAGAACGCCCATGGGGTCATCTGGTAAACAGTGTGATGGGACTATTCCCACTCGTTGACACCGCTGCAACTCCTGTGTAGCCAGGATCTACAGCTTGACCGCCAATAAAAACCCAACCAGTGAAGGTCAAGTTTGTCCCGGGGAAAGTTAACTGTCATTGGACCCGCAACGAAATTAATCAATAGACAGTGTAAGTAAAAACAGTGATACTTTTGCTACTAGACTTTGGTTACTAGAGATGCCTTTGCTATGGGGCAAGGTCAGAACGATCATGGGGTCATCTGGTAAGAAATGATACACGCTTCACGGTTTGTTACAAGTCCATGCTTGAAGAAAAAATACGAAATAATGACTATACTAAACTATACTTTTGCAAGGGGCAAGGACAGAACGACCATAGGGTCCCTAATCACTCGTTCTGACCGCTGCAACTCCTGTGTAGCCAGGATCTACAGGTTGACCGCTAAAACTCAACCAGTGAAGGTCAAATTGGCTGGAAAAGTTAGACTTATTGTATCCGCAACGAAATATTCAGAAATTTAAAGGAAAATCTAAATAGCTATGTAATTAAAGTTAATAAAGAAAACTATAAAGTTAATAAAGAAGCAAAGAAAGAAATAAAGAAAAAGCAAATAAATGAAGGTTTTCAAGGAAATAAATAGGACTGTAATTTGAAATCTACAGCTAAAATACAAACCTTCGATTGAATTAATGTCAATTAAATTTTTATGCATATGGAAACTTTTGTGAAACTATTTTCTGTTACAGTTCAAAATATCAAAGCGTGTGAACACGCGAGCAAAAACTAGTTTTATTATCCCAACTAATCCCAACTAATATTATAAATGCGAAAGTAACTCTGTCTGTCTGTCTGTCTGTTACGCTTTCCCGCTTAAACCTCGCAACCGATTTTGATGAAATTTGGCATAGAGATAGTTTGAGTCCCGGGAAAGAACATAGGATAGTTTTTATCCCGGTTTTTGAAACAGGGACGCGCGCGATAAAGTTTTTCTGTGACAGACAAAATTCCACGCGGGCGAAGCCGCGGGCGGAAAGCTAGTGTTCTAATATTTATTTGGCACTGCCAATATTTTTAAATTGAATACCAAAAATTCCATGGAAGTTTGTTCTCATAATTTAATTCATGAAGGAAATATCTTTCTCTATAATTTCCTAAAAACATTAATAATATCTTACTAAGAGAAATTGCTGAAAATGTCCTTTGATCATTGATTTTAGTTTCTTAGAAATCCACGCGCCTATTTATCGTGGTTTAAACTGTTGCTATGTGATTGGGAATACATAATACCTAACTACGTTTTTCATAAACTTATAGTTCCATTATACTGAACTGTCCTATCCATGACATTGACAGTGGGGCGACCGTCAATACCGGATCGCTGGTTCCGATTTTTGCCATGTTGGAAACCATATAGTTGAACGATGGTAGCGCCCCCCTGTCATTGAGTTTGGTGGGACAGTTCAGCGTGGGTCATCTATATCTACAGTTTTTTCATAAACTCATTACAGTCAGTATCAAATAATTCGTGACACCCAAAGTAACCAAAAAATTGACAACACAACCTTATTCCAATGAGGGCTATCATTTTTATACTTAACAGTTGGCACCCCTGGCGATTGCCAGGACCTTACTCTACAGTGGCGCCATCTTGATGAGTGAAAATGCGATAGTCTTCCTACCACTTTAGCGCTCACCAGTTGGTGCCACTGTCTTCGCTCTAGCAAGTGCCAGGACCTTACTCTACAGTGGCGCTAACTGGTGAGCGCTAAAACAAAGACGCGTTGCGAACTTTTTGGCTACTTTGGGTGACACGAACTATTTGACGCTGACTGATAGTTAGTATTTGACTGGAGCATATAAAATAGATCTAAGATTATGTAGAAACCATCGAAAGGGTGTATTTTTTTAAATGTAAAACTATATGCTCTCACAAAAATTATGGTAGTGCAAGCTATATTTGGGGCCTATATACTTTCCCTGAAAAGTGCGTACATACCTATGTACGTAGTACCTAGTAAAGAGTTTGAACATTTAAATAATCTGAGGTAATTTAACCTGAACATACTTTTTCGCTTTTCAGACAAGTTCAAAGAAGTTTCATGCGTACCATCTGGGATTCGAACCCAGAACTTTCAAGTTTTAGTTTCAAACGTTTAATGAACAACCTAAAGACAGAGGCAGGGGAATATGACACTAATTTTGATTATGGGAAATTTTTAGCTTTCACAAAAGTTATTAGAGAGGGAATTTGATACTAATTTTTAACTATTGGGATTTTTGCCTCGTCAAAAATTCAGGAAATAAGTTAATAATTCCCAAATCAGGACAATTAAAAACATGGGATTTTGAACCCTAAACATATTAGTAGGAAAGGTTATACAAGATAGATGTATGACGCCGACCTGTGCTCTGTGACCGCCTGAAGAAACCCTTGCATCCTTCGCAGGTGATCACCCCGTAGTGGACCCCGGATGACTTGTCTCCGCACACTTTGCATGGTATGATCTCGATTTGGGCTGGAACAAAAGAAAAACCAGGTTAAAAACCATTGAAATATTATGTACTCGTCGGCGTTCCGAACACTTAACGATTCTGAAACGTCCAGAAGCAAAAATGGGTTGTTAGTTTTTGATTTTTGCAACTTGACGTTTCAGAATCGTGGGACTTTATTATCCCAATATTGATAGTAGCGCTCTCCTTTAAATGTCATAATTATATGGATGTCCAACATGGCAATTTGAACTAATTTTAGAACTGAAACTCTCCTGACAATGTCATGGCTGGGACGGTTTTGGTTCAGTGTTGGACTTTACTTTTTGGCGACTTTGACATTCTACATTTGACAAGTAAGCGATCTAGCGCTGTATGTTGTTTTAGTTAGACGACAGGACTAATGTTTTAAGGCTGCAGCTTCAACTGAGCAAGAATTTTGCTTACAATAGTTACAATAGCTTCTCTACCTATCTTTTATAACTCTGTCAGAATCTTTTTTTTAGCCTAAATATAAAGATGCACAAAGTGAACTTGGTTACTAATAATTATGGGTTATGTTTCGACGTAGGTACAAACGTTTTAAAGGTGACCTCGTTCATTATTTGCAGCGAAGGTTTTTGTTTTTAGTACAAACTTCGCATTGTAGTTACGAAAATGACCAAAGTTTTGAATGAATATGGGTTTTCGATCGACAAACTTTCTTATAAAATATGTATTACAACAGCTTTGGAGGAAAAGCTTGTAAATTATCTAAGCCTACAGTTTTCTTGTGTTAATTAGGTAATATTACTTAAATTTATGCTGAAAATCGCATTGTTGTGTATGTAAAATACGTTTTTATTTGTAACGTAGGGTGTTTTTTTGCCATCTTTAATAGGTTTAATTTGATTGACAAGCAGTATAGTGCTCAAAAACGTCACAAAAACAAATGAAACGTCAAAAAACCGCGAATTGACAGCAAACATGACCCCAAAACGTGACCTTATCGGTTACAACCGCACCCGAACCGCGCGTTTTTGGCGGACACTACAAAGATGGAGTCGATTACATTCCAAATTCGAAGTTCGAGCATCGTTTCGGCGAGTTCATCGACCTGGAGGCAAGGTCGGAGCGCGGCCGTTGACTGCGAGCTGTGTGTGTGTGCGTGGAAGACACCACCACATTGACAACGGGATACGAACGGGATCTCCTTTTAACCGACAGAGCGCGCAAAACAGTAAGTTGGAATCTCCATGATTGTGAAAAATGAGGAAATACGGCCATTTTCAAGTTTTCTGACACAAAAAAGTGTTGGTTTTTAGGTATTTTGAAAAACTTACGCTATAGGTAGGTACGTGAAACTTTCCACTCATATTGGACTTACAAGAAAATTGTGATCAATTTTGAACATATTTTTCGATATGAAAACATGACTGTATCTATCATCTCTATTCTATTATAAAATAATCTTTATTCTAAAAAAAGATTTAAAATTGCTTAAACTATTGAATTTAGAGCATATTTTTATCAATGACTAATTAATTATTACGCCATTTTAACCCGAATAAACATCAAATAGCTGTCATTAGTTAACAATTAATTCTTAATCACTTAAACCATCTTTGCCTTAATGAAAGACTCGTGTAGGAATATCCCTTAGTTAAAAAACAGTCAACATTATACATACTCAAAGATTAAGCAAATTAAAAATATGTATAGTTGTTGCAATTCACGAAGGCGAGTGAGCTTTACATGTGTGGTGGCTCGCTACTGTTCGTTTTTCAAAAGTTTTGACAGACATTACACTATCGTTATTGCATGTACACGTACACACACAAGTAAAGCTCACTAGCCTTCGTGAGTTGCAAGAACTACTTTTTGTTTTTAATAGTTTTGCTATGTGCCAGCATCAAAAAATCTTTCGAAACAAAAACAAATGCTGTCGAAATATGAATTCCTATTCAATTTTCTTCATTTGTAAGGAACTACGCTAGTATCTATCAAATGACAGGACATTTCGATTTTGTGACAATCGATGCTAAAATGAGCATGCTTAAAACAATATAGCAGTCAGTGATGCAACCATGTTGCAAACGGCATTGTCAGATGTTTAGCAACTTCCTTCTGTACTGTGTTGTTAAAATTATTGCTACGTAGGTACTAATGTTTAGAGTAATTTTGTCATATTGTCATTTTGTGGCAATATAAGTAGTTTAAATTAGCCAAATAAGATCACATACGGCTCTACGGTTTTCAAACTCTACATAAAAACGAAAACGGCGCCTTTTTGGTCAAAAAAAAAGTTAACACGTGAGTATAAAAAAAGGTCGAAGTCATTGCAGCAATGAAAAAGGTTCGCAAGTTATTTTTACACCGCGGTAAAGTGCATAAGCTGCATCAAGGTATCACAGAAGGGTCTCGCCAGCTGATCATGACGTCACAGGCCGACGACCGGCCAACACTCGGGGAGCGCGGCAATCACGCCCGGTGACGTCACCGAACACGGTGAACTGTTCGAATTTGGAATTCGGGCGGTTTTCGAGTGCACCGTTATGTAACGTTGCGTCTGTGTGCGTGAGATTAGAGCTTTTGTTTTTTTAAATCGTTCGGTGGAACGCAAAGGCATAACATTGTACAGCTTTGTGAATTATTTTTGACAAATTTAACGGTTTTTTGGTGTATTTCAATTTGGAAAATACTTTTTTATTAACATAATCGACAAATAGCACTATTAATAGTAGAAATGTATGCAGAAAGTGAAAAAAAGGTTAACAAAAACTGTTTTAAACGTACTGAGAATACACACCCACCTTACGTCATAGGGGCAATGAACTCAATCAACCGTTCAAGCAGAGGTTTATTTTGCTAAAGAATCTTTTTTGCTGGTCTATGGTCTGGTGAGCTTGATGGATCAATGGTAAAACGTTGTTTTTTAGTCTATAATTCGATTCTTAGGTTAACTTATCTATAAATGCACTTATAGATGCAAGAAGATTATGTTTTCTGCTTAGACTATTAAAGCTTAACTTTGATACAAAAGCTTTTATTAAAAAGACGTGTATTGATGTCTCTTAAAATCTTTTATAGCCGTTTTCACCATGAATCCCTAATTTTTAAGTGACCCCTATGAAAACTAAATTCCTGTTAAATGTTGCCATAGGGGTCACTTAAAAATTAGGGATTGATGGTAAAAACGGGCATTAGTCTCTTAAAATATATTACTCAACAGAATATAAAACTATTTCAAGAACGTATCTCATACAATTATCTACTGCCAACCTGGATGCATCTCCCAAATTAATTGCTAGATGAAATTAGATCGTATTTTTATAGCAACAGATGCTAGATCCCATACCGTCGGTGGTATGTTTATGTTGGTAACGCTATTCGGACAATCGCGGTCGTTCACCCGTGACGTCAGCTGGCCGTTAGATTAAAATTCGAAATTGGAACCCGTTAATAAAGTGAATTCGAATTTAGAAAAACAATGGAGAGTCGATGGTTGCTCAAAAAAGTGCGAATTCTTTGCATTATTTTGGAATCAAAAAAATTACAAATGTCTTCTCTACTCAACCTCAGTATGTATGCCTTTTTTATTTGTATTTATTTTTTTGCAAAAATTGGCTCAACCTACTCTATTAAAAAAAAAACATTAATTATTTTGCATCTGTAACTATTAATTAAATAAACCGCCTTTGATAAACTAAACTAACATGAAAATACTTCATTTTTAATAACATAAATAACTTTTTATTTATGCAACTGACTTATAATACTAATTTATACTGTTAAATAATTAAATGGCTAGATTATTTTTAATTGTCATTTAATTATGTACGTATTTGACAATAATCTATGTAATTTTATTTATCATTTCCTAACTCATTTATAACTACAAACATTTAATTAAAAATTGTGGTATTATAAACTTCAAAATGCCTAAACATCATTCTAAGTTAAGTATACAAAACATTATTCCAATTCAATAAGTAATAAATTCATTCCACATTTAAAATCAATACAAACAGCAAATCATTATAGATTTTATTCTAGACTGGCACCACGAAAATAAAAAGCTAAAAATATAACATCTAAAAAAAAAATCTATTGTTGAATGTCAGAAAATCTATTGTGGCCAGTGTTCAAAATAAATCGATCAATCGATTTAAAAATCGAATACGAGAGGTTCCATCGATATGATACGATTTATTTTCAGCTTTAATCAGAATGGGAGTTCGATGAACTGTGAATTATTTCACAGATTAACTAAAACAAATGAAAACTACTTTTTTAAACTATCTTGAGTGTTTCTTGGCTGCCAGTTGCAACATTCAATTGTTATTTAAAACAAAAGATTTCTGAATCCCAATTTCTGAATTTATATTTTGTGCTCATCTTCTTCATAAGTATGAACTTTCAATTTAGTTCATACTATGCCTACATTATAGAGACAAAAATGTCGCTATTTGACGTCTAAAAAGTTGAAATATTTAACCACAAAATCGTTGATTTAATTATAATTATAAGTTACTTACATAAAACTGTCTATTCGAGATACATACCAGAATTGCGAAAACAATAAATCTATTACAAAATTAGACACACAATTTCTCAATAGGAATCCTTTGAAATTAATTACCTTAGATCTTCAAATATGGAATCAATTAAAGGGAACTCGAATAATTTATGTCTTCGCTTCGAATTCCATTGTTTCTAAATTCAAAACGATTAAATTGATTGTCATTTATTAATTAACAGAACCTCTTTTCTCAATTTCAAAATGATTATAAAGCTGAAGAGTTTTGTTTGATTGAACGCGCTAATCTCAGGAACTACTGGTTCGATTTGAAAAGTTATTTTTGTGTTGGATAGCCCGTTTATCGAGGAAGGCTTTGGGTTATACAACATCACCCTACAGCCAATAGCGGCGGAGCAGTAAAGAAAAATGTTGCAAAAACGGGAATATTATTACTGTAAAGTTTCATCAAAATCCGTTCAGTAATTTTTGCGTAAAAGAGTAACAAACATCCAGACATCCAGACGT